GCTTCTTGACACCTGTCATCGGCATCACATATGTGTATGTATGTGTGTTTTGAGTGTGTGACTGATGGGCTCAGGTTTAGGGCATAATAAATGGTGTGTGTGTGTGTGCTGTCCTAGTTTAAGCAGCACCACACATGTAGACTGAGGACTCAGGTTACTATATAAAGTTCATTTGACACAAAGTAGATGTCATGATGCTGACGTTATAATAATTCTATTAGTTTAGTGGCTGATGTGAATAATGTAAGATGCAAAACATAGTGAATTATAAAACATATGCAAAACCATACATGTGCATACACCCACACACATGCATGGAAACAAACATACACGATAAGCAAGAGGGCAAGAGCTAGAGAGGTAGTTTGAACCGTTACAGTTATAGATGAGGCTAAGCAGAAGTTCATCAACAATGAAAGGGGAACAACAGAAGAAAGAAGTGATGCTCTCATTTGTTGTTTACTACCTGTCTCCTCACAACTTGCTCTGATCTACCATCAAACACAGAGAGCTGATGACTGAGGTTTAGGGTCTAAGAGAGTGCCTCTGGAGCCGGCATGAAAAGAGCGAGGAATAGTGGTTGTTGTGAAAAATGAAAAAATAAATGCTTTTTCTGCCTTTCTGCTTTTCTATTTTGTTTGTTCTTCTTTTGACGGCCTTAAACAGCTTTAAAGCCACAGAGATTTGAAACCTATGAAATTCGCTATAGTAAAGAGGCCAGGTGTTTCATTTTAACACATGCTGTAGGCAGAGGTTTAAATTATGCATAGATTTAAGGTCACACAGTGTTCGTGTTTCATAAAGTTTCTACTGTGGCGGATATAATATATCGACATCTGTCTGCCATATTGGTGGAGACAGATTTACATTGGGTACAACAATAAAAACGAGTCCTTATCGTACACAAGCACAAGAGGAGGGTGACTAATCATCCTGATTTACTAAGGATCAGCATCAAATCTCTTTTGCCTCTGAACACTTTGGGACTTGAGATGTTCAACAGATTTGTGTTTGTTCTCACACAGGAAAAGGAACTACGAGGCAGCCTGCTATGCTGTTTATATAAAGATCAGATATGATGTAAAGGTCCCGGGTTCAAATGCACGGCAAAGGAGCAATAACATTTGCATCATAAAATATTTATATATACAAGGGTTTCTGAAAAATAAATGGCAATGGGGTTGCGAGGACTAACCCAAACACGACAAAAGTTTTAGTTTAGAGATCTTAATGTGAATTATCACCTTTATCCGTGTCAATAATTCATAGATTTGGCAACATTTTACTATTTCACATAAGCAGACTAAGACTGAGATGGAATTTGGTCACTAGTCATCCTGCATCAGCAAAAGTGTTGGACCAGTTTTGGATTTTGACTAGTTTGTGGTACCAGATGAAAAGTCAGTTGATTGTGGAAGACATTACAATAAATCGTCTGAGGACCATGAACGCCTGCTCTTCTTTACATGTTACAATAAACCGACTGACCTCTGACACCGTCATCGTTTGAGCCACATCACTAGCATAGCTACTGGCTAAAGATAGATCCTTGGACCTATAAATTTTTACGATGGATTTTAAACCAAAGTACCAGTAAGAGTCATCTGTTTCATTTCAGTTCAGTGTTGAGTCAGCAGGGCATGAAAATTAGTATTCATCAACTGCAAAGCTATATAAGTTAAAAAAGGTTTTGTCGTCTCCTCGTGTGCCTCAAGAGCATACATGGTTTATTTCCAGCTCCCCTTTCAGGGAAACACAGTGTGTTACCTTTAACATAAATACAGAGGTCTTAGTCAGTTTTAAGAGCCTCTTCACTGTGACGTGTTCGCAGTTTTGCCATTTTCCTCCTACTAGTTATCATTATGGTTAAGGATTAAATGTCACTACCATACTCCCTTACAATGTAAATGCAGGGATTGTGGTGAACCAATTAATATCTACCTTTGGGGCTCTTGCTGGCTATTTTGGTGTAAAGAAAATGCCTCCAGGGTTATGATTTTATAACCGCAAGAAGGTAAGCGTGTGCATGGGCTGGCAAGTGTGCGCACATGTGTGTGTGGAAGTGTGATGTCTTGAGACTGCTGCATGATGCATGCACTCGAAATCTGTTAGTTGCTAACCTGCAGAGCATCTCTTATATAATGGCAAAACGCTTCAGTACATTTAAAAAAAGAAAGAAAAAAAAAGACTGAATTCACACGCATGCACACTCTTGCACAGTCACTCTCTTTTACACACACACACACACACACACACACACACACACACAAAAATAGTGTAATTCTTATCATATAATCGAGTCCCTCGCCCTATGCTGAAGTACTCCAATTTTACCAGTGGGTGAAAATCATTTTCCATGCTTTTGACTATGACAAACATCTTCCCTGCAAACCAAATGCAATACCTTAATGATTCCATTACTGTATTTACTGTGGTGGTTGGCAACTGTTCGCCCACATGCTCAGTATCTGCATTGTCTCACCCACTCACGAATGGTTTAGGTGCTGGTGGGAAGGTAGAGAGCCTTCAGTTTTGAGTAGAACACACACAATAATGCTGCTTTACACACAGGCGTAAAAACACCTCTGACTCTGACTAAACACACACACATGCAGCGAAACACTGCAACACCATCAGGGTTTGCAATTACAGTGATTTGCAGTTGGAATTTTTCCAGGAATAAACTCCAGTTACAACTTCTCATGCATATTAAAATCCCTGGGATGATAAATATTTTGAGCCCCAATGCAGTAAATAATCCTTAACATATTGAGTATGTTTTGTCACTCTGTGATTTCAAGATGACAAAATGAATGACAAAAGGAAAATAGTGTGAATCCAAGTCTGAGGATGTGGTCTACAAGTGTCCCCCTCCACCCCACAGAGAACAATTAACTGCGCTATTCCCAGTTATTGAGCAGGTTCCTGAATGAGGTATTTCATGAATGGCATCTGTATCATCACCTATTAAATCTATGCACCCACACGCCCATTTTAACGCTTATAATAAAGACACAGGCCTGTGTCTGTAAGGAGAGATGCCTTTGATCGCTCCTCACCGTCTCACCTGCTCTTTCGTTGCCAGCTCTTTCTCCAGCTGTCGGTGTTTGTTGTGCCACACCAAATAGTGGATAGGATAACGACTCTTCTCCGGAGTTTTCTTAGCAGAAATCATCCTCGGATCATAGTTTGCCTCCTGCCCTTTCTTCACTGTGGATTGTAAGGATACTTTGCTGTTAATTTACGCTATATAATCAAACCTATCATCCTTTATCGGCGGTGATGCCCAGCGGCGTATAGGGGCAGCCTTGCGCGTCAGAAACAGTGAATGACTCCCCTGCCTGCTCTGCTTAAAATACACAGCAAAGCCCCGTGAAAATCATTTGTAGAAATAAACCCCTTCGTTTGATTGTCTCCGTAGATCAGGCTACACCTTTATTTCTTAACCACCCGTTCCTCCACCTCTTGCCTCCCTCTCTCTTCCTCCCCTGCCTACTCTAACACATCTATCCTCCTCCTCTCCTCCCATCCGGTGGTGACTGAGAAAGATGCGTTGACAAGCTGCAATGAAATGTGCGCACCGTCAGCCAATCCGCTGTCAGGGATGTAGTGATAAAACATATGCCTCGTGAAAAAAGAAAGAAAGATGAGAAAACCCGCAGAAATTATATGTAATGTTTAAAAGGAAACTACAGAGCACATCCCCCTACAGGAATCTTATAGTAGTGATGGACTGTAGAGATTTTAAAAAGTATACATAGGCTACTGAAACCTTGTTTGTGTTAGATGTAATTGATAGTTTGTTTTATTCAATTAAAATCTATAGTTTGTCTCTGACTGTCTAGGTCCCTATCTAGATCTAGGTATGTTTTATTTTGCATATTTATACATTTTTTTGTGTGTATGTGTATTGTATTTGAATTTATGTGTTGCTGAAATGTGATAACAACAGAAATATCACCACTACTACAACCCTATTACTACTTTTAATAATAGCCTTATATTATTGTTATTCTTTATACTAACAACAATAATAATAATGTATATGTTTTATGGATCTGATAGTTTCATAGTGACATGAGTCTAACTTTTTTTTAGTAGCCTAAATACATAAAACTTTTGTTAAAGGAATGTGCTCTATGGGTTTTGAAAGAGAGTGTTGCTAGTTTGCCCATTAAAAAAATAAAAAATAAAAACAACAATTAATTATTTAAAATTTTATTTTTTTAAAAAAAGTACATAAAATAAAACAAAATTTAATAATATGGAATAAAATTAAATTAAATTAAATATCACAGATGCAGAATCTGCAGAATATAACATTTCACCAGTCTGTAGGCCTTTATTGCTTTATAAAGGAGATAACATGTAGGTCAGGGTCAATAGGATGTCTCACATTTATATCCTGTTCAACATTGTGTTGCTGAAATGTGATAATAATAACAGAAATACCACTACTACTAGCCTACTACTAATGTACTTCTAATAATGGCCTAATCTTATTCTTGATAATAATAAAAACAAAAATAATTTATATTTTATGAATCTAATAGTTACATAGTGACATGAGTCTAACTTTTTTTAAGTATCCTAAATAAATAGAACTTTTGTTAAAGGAATATGCTCTTTAGTGTGTGTTTTAAAGGGGTCTGTGACCATCTGTTGCTAGTTTGCCCATTAAAAAAAATAATAGAAATAAAATAAAATATCACAGATGTGAAATATCTGCAGAAAATAACATTTAACCAATCCTTCGGCCTTTATTGCTATATAAAGGAGATAATATGTAGGTCAGGGTCAATAGGATGTCTTACATTTAAATCCTGTTCATCTATCTGAGTTTAAAATAAATACTAGTGATTTGATTTTTTATTGCTCTGCTTTGATCAGTCTGTGAAACCCAGCTCACCTTTAACATAATGACAGGATTATTCTTGCCCCCTCACCCCTCCCTGGCCCTCCATAGGTAGGCTGCAGGGATGTTGGGTGTGTGTGCGGAAACTGACAGGTAGAGAGCTGCCGTCTCTCGGTGAGACGCAGGCAATGCAGCGAACAGATTTAGTAAATATTCCGCTATGAGGTTCATACAAACAGCCAGATTAACCATGTTCGCATAACTTGCCTCCACACTTGAGTTCAGTGGTGGACGTGGGCGAAGAGACCTCAGGAACAAACGGGAAATTCAACTGTCAGCTGGCCGGGAAAACCGATCACACCACCCGGCTTCCGGGGATTCAGGGGCCGCATCGGTTGACTGCAGACGTCGGTCGGTAGCTCGGGGGAGTAAAGGCGAACAACCACATCATCGCCGACATCCACCTCTCCATTTCAGCGACTTTCGAGATGTCGAGGAAGCTACAGAGGACAGAAGTCTGCGCTGACTGCAGTGCGCCAGGTAGGGAGGAGGAAAATAAATCAAAAATAGACCGCTACACTGGAACAATACATCGGGAGGGCGACACGGTGGGACAACAGCACCGAAGCTGCTGTCACTGTCAGCGGGTTCGCAGAGCAGGAAAACGGCCAGGGCTAACCAGCTTCGCTTAGGCCCCAAATAAACAGTGAAAAATAGGCGTGTTATCACAACGGGAAAACCTGAGGCTAATAGCTGCTAAACATTAATTGAGAAGCTTGATATTCATATTCAGTTGACCGAGACCATATGTGAAGGCTACCAGCTTGTTTGCTGCAGTGGACCATCTGAGTGTCAGATTTATGTCGCTTTCCTACTTCAACAGACGTTTGTTTTGATTTTCGTGACCGGGACAGACTTCTTAACGCGTTAGCTTAGCATTGCTAACTAGCAGGCGATTTTGACTCACTGCGTTGCTGGCTATTATTAAACACTGCGCCTGCCCTCAATGTATTAACATGCACTATTATGAATATATTTCAACCCCATTATGTCATTGTTAGTGCTCGCCCGCGGCGTTTTGAGATTGTGTACCTGGCTAAAGTTGCTATCCTAGCTACACCGTTAGCTAGCCTAGCTAACTTTTGCTAAACGGCAAGTTATTGCTGAGCCGATTCTGCTAACGCGTCAGCTACCAGCCAGTCGCTTTAGCGGAATCTGACATTAGTTTTTGGTAGTTTCTGTACACTGTTGTAAATTCCGGACAGACATTACCTACTTGAGTTAAGATTTCTGTATAATATATATTTCACTGCATTTGTAGTCTCTTCCACAGTTTACAGATTGAATTGTCACCAACGCTGAGGGGATTTACAGGAGCAAATTCATGTGAAAGCCACCCAAATTGGAACATTTAGCTAACCCGATTTAAAAGAATAAACAACGCTATATTAAACTTCAAGTGCCAGATAAAGCTAGTGTGTTGTCCATGTTGTTGTGCATGAGTAAGTGTGACCACTGCAATGAGCATTCACATTTTCAAGTTACTTTTACCTCGTTTGCCCCTGTCAGTGCTTGGAGGAAAGTGGGGAGGTGATACCAAATAAACCATGGGATCCTCTTCCGAGCATCTACCTTGCACATGTAGCCTCACATGTCCTCATATCTAGTTTGAAGCACTCGATTATTGGTGTGTATGCGTGTTGCCAGCATTCATTCATGTGTACATGTATTACAGCAGCTGCCCTCTTCACAGCTGCTCCCCCTGATAGCAGTGTGTTCAAAACTGTCATAAGCTTTAGGGTGCTACTGCTCAGTGTTCAGGATCCTGCTGACTACACCTTGCTTCTGCTTTATGACCTGAACTTATTCCCTGCTACTACTATACGCTTACCTTCCTGCAGTCTGTCCTCCTGCCCCCTCAATTGCATCTCCCGCTTCATCTTCTGACCAGCACTAACCAACCCCAGCTGAATGTGTTTCCTTGAATGCCATTGCCATTAGAGTATGATTAATGTGTGATATTCCTGACAAATTAATCCTGTCTGGAAAAGGAAAAGATGTGTGCTCATTGTCAAGTAATTGTCTTTTTACATGGGTTTCTCTAGATGAATTTCCTGATTTTTCATGATAGTGTTTAGCTTGTTGGTGTTGGTGTACCTGTAACTAGCTGTAGATTTCTTCTGCTACCATCAGCTCTTTGCATGTTGCTCCTCCTTACGACGACATGCACACACACGCAGTGCGTTCTGCAAAATGCTGACCTAGCCACTGGTGACAGGCCACCTCCCTACTACCCAGCTTTGTGTCATACTGGGGGATAACTCGATGGCATGGCTACAAAGGACGACTGATACTCCCAGTCCGAGCCAAGCCTCAGGAGGCTTTAATGTCACGCCGTGGCAATCTGCACGGTTTATGGCAACAATGAATCATGTTGTCATGATGGTAAACTCTTTATTGAGACCAGATGCAACTGTATAAGAAACTGAGAGTCTTGTGCGAGCATTTAGAGCAGTGTGACAGTGGCGTCCAATTCCTTTGTCGTGTTGTGCTGTCAGGTTCTACTGTTGACGTCGTGACTGGTGTTTGGGCAAGTTCAGAAAGCCAAATTTAGAGGAAGTAAAAACTGTGTGTGGGAATGCAATCAACCTACATGTTACTCCTGGGTATTTAAATGGTTATTTAGAGCTGTGAGGCTCCTCCGGAGTGGAATATGAATTAACCTGTGATGAGTTTTAGTGTAGAAACTTAACAGTTACCAGTCGAATTACGTAAGTGCAAGCATTAGTTTCAGTGTTTATTTTAGCAGGAGTTTTCCAGCCTTTAAATGCTATCATTCACCGTTAATACTTATTGTTATACATGTTTTTATGCAGCCTTTAGTGACAGTTATAAAAACAAATGTCAATGCTGTATCGACGAATTAGGCCAACTTTAGGCTAAATTATGTCATGCTGCAGATTTGGCCAATACTCTGCTGCCAATAGTCTATTCAGGTCTAATAGCTTAATGGTGTAGCCTCATATTGATCCAGCGAGCCAAGCAGATAGCGTAGCCTGTGGGAGTTTTTATATTTATTACACAGATTAAGGAATTAAATTGCTGCAGTCTGGCCTTTAAAGCCCACGGGCTACTGTTCTAAACTAGGCTATAGCTCTTATCAAAGCCATTTTGTATTTGCTGCTACTTTTTCTGCAGGCAAAAAGACTTACAGCATGTCAGTTCATCTGATGATGGACTATTTTAGCTCCATTAATACCCTAAGCCCAGACAGTTTTATCCCAGCCCGAGAGTGACTAATACAGATAGTGGATGTGTGTGTGTGTGTGTGTGTGTGTGTGTGTGTGTGTTGGTGAATACATCATGTAAGTGTGCATATATTTGTTTTGATATTGCAGATTGTATTAGTTGTGAGCTGCTCATCACATCAGGGTCCTGAGGGCATAAACATGACCCAGACTCTGTGACTCGTCTGCCAGTGTCAGTAGACTGGCATTGGCTGTAGCCGCTTCCCGTCTCATCCTCACAGCATTCACACTCATCTGCACTGATGTCTTGGGTGGAACAAAAGTGATGTTCCCACCAGAATTTTGTGTGTCACTGCAATATCACACCGAACAAACTAAAGCAAATACCAGATGTTGTTATGGAAACCTCAGGCTTCTGTCGAACACTAGTAGATCTGACATTTGGCTCAGCCAGTAAGGCACCACCAGTCTTATACCAAGCTGCTTATGACTGAAAGGTTAGAGTTTGCATAGTGTATGTATGTGTGTAGAAGCATGTGCATTTTAAGGATGTTTCCTTTATCTGAAATTGAAATGTCTTCAAATATTTTCTCCTTTTCATGTACTTATATTTACATACTTAGTATAACCAGTAATATATGATATGGTGAAAAATCTTCTGGACTTGTGTAACCTTGACTGTAACTTCACTTTAACCTTCAGCCTGACTTAACTGCACATAGTTTCCTGCAGTTCGGTCGGTACAACATTGAGCCCTACATTTGTAAGCACTTCAATCAAAGCAGGACTCTGTGCATGTATTGGTTTATCACTGAGTGGCAATTCATGGAGTACACTGAGCTCAGGGGAGCTATAGTACAACCCAGCATATGGAATATTCAGTGTGTGTATGGTCCATCTTTATACCGTATTTGGTTCTTCCACATGGCATTTTACAACTGTAGCTAACAGTTTACATAGGCTGGCTGATAATTCAGTGTTATCATTTCTTCATGTTATCATCTTGATATACTTTCTGAATGCCCCAAAATTCAATTTGTTCTAACTGCCCATTCCTTACTGTGAAGAATACCTTTTTTTCCTGAAATTCTCCCAGTTACAACACTACTATGTTTCCACAGCTCTTTGATAAACTACAAAGATGCATATCCTTTGAGGATGACTTTGCTTTTAATGTGTATTATACAATACTATATATAACAGCACGAAAATCTGTGAAATTCAAAGGACTTATAATCGTAATTGGAGTTTTGGTGACAGAAGATCACTGTACTTAAGCTTTATGCTGTTGCTCAGCTCTATGTTTGTCATTCTGTGCATACATATCCACATATTTCATTAAACACTTCTTATTGCAGGTTAGCAGCTGAGAAATTGAGACTAAAATGAGCATATGTTGGACTTGACCTTGAATGAGAAAAGAGGTCTGAAAGGAGCATGTGTTTGACTTGACCTTGAATGAAGCCTGGCCAGAGTAGCAGTGTCAGTAGAGCACATGTCTACTTGGAGGGAAAAAATGGCACCGCAGAGTACTGTGGTAGTAAACTTAATTTAGGCCCCCCACATTCTAATACTTGCACATTGAGGGTATTATTGTAATCCAGCCTGGACTAACGTGACTGTTGTGATAAAGCACATAAGATTCTTTTGCAATGCTTAAAAGTCTTACCACTGCACACAGCATGTTTATAAGACTTGTAATACCATTCACCTGTTTCTCTTTGCCTGTAAGACCCGGGCTGGACCAGTATCAACCGAGGGGTCCTGATCTGTGATGAATGCTGTTCAGTCCACCGCAGCTTAGGCCGCCATATCTCCATAGTCAAGCACCTGAGGCACAGCGGATGGCCTCCCGCACTACTGCAGGTAAGGCTGAGAGATGAAGAGTGAAGGAAAGGGAAATTAAGTTAGAGCAAATGCAGTACCAGAGGTCCAGAGTACTACCACTGAGAGTGAGGATGCAAATCCATTCCCACTGGTTTCTGTGTTTATGAAAAAAACAGGTTCTTATTTTCTTTATTTATGCTAATCCTGCGTATCCATCCTTTTGTATAAATATATATTTTAGCTTTTGGTCGCCAAAGCAATACATTCAAAATATTACATTATGATGTTGCAATTTGGGCTGCAACGCGACTTCACTCACCATAATATTCTCATTATTCTCTTGCATTACTGAGTCACTACTGTGTGTGTATGTTCTAGATGGTTCAGACCTTGGCCAGTAACGGGGCCAACTCCATATGGGAACACAGTCTTCTGGACCCTGCTCAGGTACAGAGCGGTCGGAGGAAACCCAACCCCCAGGACAAAGTCCAGTAAGTATACTCCCTACAGGCTCGGAATACACAAAACAAAACTATCACACATCTCCCACCAGTCACCTTTGTTGGGGGAGATTATTGTCCCTGCAGCACAGGATTGCTATATAATCTTTTTGGACGTCATTTGTGTTTGCAGTAGTGAAGAGCAATTGCACCCAGTTGTTCTGTAATGCTCTATGAACAGTTGTCTCTTATGCATGGATCACCTTCCTAATGAATATTGCTCTGTTCTCATAGGGATTTTGTATACCTAAATACAGGATATGGTTTGTCTTTGTAACTTTTTATTGCTTCTTTTGTGGTGAAATGTGGCTCTGGGAGTGTCCTGAGATCAAGAATTGGACCTGCAGGAAATAGTCTGTTCATTTCACTTAATTTGTCATTTCACAAATGTGTAGAAGCACATTGTGCACAATTTCTTTTGAAATATACGACATTGTATACTGTGTTAATGTCTGTGTATAACAAGCAGGGAACCATTAGTTACCCATCAATTCTGGCTTATTCAAGTAAGATGGGAAGGAACCCTGCTCGGGCCTCACTGAGCAGCAGCAGTGTTGTTAAGGCGTGTAGTTCTTAGCTTAGGACTTTTTCTTTGATAAGAGAGTGGGATTTTTCTTCTAACACAAAGAATCAAAAGGAGAAGGAGAAAAATGACATCAAAGGATGAAGTGCTTTTCAGTCAAAATACAACTCAGCTTTTTGTAAAAAAGAACATCTGGCATTCAGGAAAAACTTAAAATTGGACTGGACCTGGCCTGTAGTTGCAAATATGATTTTTCTGACGTTTGAATTTCATGATGTGGCAGCAGTCGGCCTGACAGTGATTTAGCCTCGGGGAGTATTTCAGGGGTTTCGGTGTAGCCGGTGGATATCAGGGCCAAGACTTCCTCTTCCGACCGCTGCACATTTCAGCTAATCTCTATAAACAAATATCTGCATTGAGCTGGGCAGTATATCAATATGATATTAATATTTTGATATGAGACTGGGTACCATCTTAGATTTTGGATATCGTAATAATTTAAGTGTTGGATTTCCTGGTTGTGAAGGCTGCATTGCAGTAAAGTGATGTCATTTTATGAACTTACCAGACTGTTCTCGCTGTTCTACTTTTGCCTTTACCCACTCAGTCATTATACCCGCCTCACTGACGATTATCCATCAGAAATCTCATTATGTTTATTTTGTGAAAGAACCAAACCTCAACCCGAAAACATTGTAACATATTGTCACAATATCAGTATTGAGGTTTGTGGTCAAAAATAATGTGACATTTGATTTTCTCAACATCACGTAGCCTTGTATCCATATATGAATGCAGACAAATAAATAAATAAAGCTTAGATGATAGCTGATGGGTTATGATTGTGCATTTCAGCCAATGCGTTCCGCCTCTTTTGCTCTCCATATGGGCTGTTTACCTGCTACTCAAACGTGATTGGTCAACAGTACTCCAACAAGAAACAGACTACAGATGGAAACCAGAAAGCCACTGATACCAAAATGTTGTCCAGTTGCCTATATTAATATGCAGGTATCTGTTTATAGTGATTACGACGGCAGTAGCTCGTAGTGGCCATTTTAAGTCTCGAGTGTGGACAGGTAGCTGGAGAGGTGCCAGTTCCTCCTGGGCACTGCTGAAGTGCCCTTAATCAACACACTGAACTCCTTCCTGCTCAGAGCACCTGACTATGCGGCAGCCCGATTACTCATCTCTCCAGAACAAAAATAGCATTTCTATACGTCCCGTGTGTGCATGTGTGTATATTTTTCACCCGCTGTATGGGTGTGTGTGTAATGAAAAGATAACAGTGGAATGAAAAAACAACAATTTCCCCATCTTCATATTCTTCACCTTCTGCTCCTGTGCAGTCCCACTAAGTCAGAGTTCATCAGAGCCAAATACCAGATGCTGGCCTTTGTGCACAAGCTGCCCTGCCGCGATGATGATGGCGTCACCACCAAGGACCTCAGCAAGGTGAGGGCGTAGTGTTTCACAGCAGAGGGGTTGAGAATGTCAGTGTAATTAGCCTATATGGACGTTGCCATACTGCTGAACTGTGTGTGTAAGCACAAAGGATGTTTCATTTATAGATGTCAGTGGGAGACCTTGCGTATAAAAACGTGTATGTATACACTCACACAAACACACACTGATAAAACCCTCCCGGCAGGCAGTGATCTGAATGACACAGCAGGATATAATAATGATCTCTAATGCTGTGGCGCTCCACTGGGTTAATAAGGGGATTCTGCCTGTTTCTGTCTCTTCATGATGTTTAATCTTTACACCCCCGACACTCTCTGTTTCTGTCCCTCTCCTCTCTACCTCTCCTCATTGTGTCTTCATTAGCAACTTCACTCAAGTGTGCGGACGGGGAGTTTAGAGACGTGTCTTCGGCTCCTGTCCCTTGGCGCTCAGGCCAACTTCTTCCACCCGGTCAGGAAAAAATCTACTCGCTGACTCACTCCATCTAGCAATTAGCCATGCTGTTCAGTTACTCTCTTTATGCCAGGCCTCTTGTCCTGACTCTGTTTCTGTGTCTAACTCCAGGAGAAAGGCACTACCCCGCTCCATGTGGCAGCCAAGGCAGGTCAGATCCTGCAGGCTGAGCTGCTGGTGGTGTACGGTGCAGACCCCGGAGCACCTGACATCAACGGACGTACACCTATGGACTACGCAAGGTACAAAACAGTGGAAACACACTTCTATGGTAACACAGATTGTATTTAAAATGAAATCTAAAATAAAATCTCCTATGAGAGAATGGTGAGGGAGGAGAATAATTTGTGTTGTGTGTCTGTGTTCCAGGCAGGCGGGTCATATAGAGCTAGCAGAGCGGCTGGTAGAGTGTCAGTATGAACTGACGGACAGACTAGCCTTCTACCTTTGTGGACGGCGCCCAGGTAACCCACTGCACCAGTGTGTGAGCACCTCACAAGCCCTTAAGCATAGTTAACTTCAGTGACATTTGTGGTAGATTGTATCCAGTTATTGTGTCTCCTCTCCTCTCCTCTCCTCTCCCTGCTCTCCTCCCTCTCCCTCTTCCTCTCCCTCTCCTCAGATCACAAGAATGGCCATTATATCATTCCTCAAATGGCAGACAGGTATGGACCGTGATATTATTGTTTTGTATTAACGTGATAATGAGTGTCTTGCATTTGTATGCATGGTGTGGTTTAATTGCATGAGGTATCTTTGTCAGTACACTTTAACTTTGCCATACTTCTATGACTGCTTCTTTTCACTGTGTCCCTCTGGCGTGGAATTATTGACACTGATGCAGTTCAGTGTTCTGACCAGAGGGTGGCACTGTAGTACATATAACCCCACCCAAATAAGGAGTTTATAAAAGGAGGTCTTTGACATCTCAAAAGAAGCTGGTTGTTTATTTTAAATAGTAATCTAAGGATTAATTATTACAGGTGTCTGCATTTGTTTAGATCGTTGAGCTCTGCTTAGTTTATTAATCCTAAACTGCAGGTTTGATTTGAGAGGTACAGAAGTGCAGAGTCAGGTTATGATAAATCAAGCTCAGTAGCACTTGGCTCAGCTTCTTTCAAATATTTGATGGGTGCTGGGTTTTCTCAGCTGAGCTGAGTCAGAAGTAGCTTGAAAAGACACTCCCAAATGTACACGTCAGGCTGCTAAACTAAGTGCACCTCAATATCAGTTTGTTACTGAAGTGGGTCTTACTTCTGAGCTGCTATCTAACTCCACTTGCATCTGTTCTGTTCTGGTGAATGGTTCCTCTTGATAATAACAATTAAAGCTGTTTTGATGTGGCTTCTCTACCCCTCTTTCTGTCTGTTTCTTCCTTTTTCTCACTCGTCTTCTGTTCTCTCCATTTCGCTGCGCTTGGTGGAGCCAGAGCTCGTCCTAAGTGCCCGACACAGAGGTATCTTTACTTTCCTTGTTCCTTTTTTCCAGAGTCTCTTCCTTTATATCAGTCCCCTCTGTCTGCTACCCCATCTTTTGTAGATTTCCCTGTTGTATACCACAATAGGCCTATCTCGTCTGCAGCAGTTTCACAGTGGGAAGATTGGTAGGCCTTAATTGGTCGTCACTAGAAAATGGACTTGCACAGCTTTTCTGATGAAAACAAATCTAGATGACTTGAAGCTGTTAGGAAATAGAGGGCCAGAGGACTTCCTGGTGCTCAGGAGAATGACCACACCAATCATAACCATATATTCACATTGCACATGTGCATATATAATTAGTGAACAACCCTGGCCACAAAAAAAAAAAAAAAAGAGCCTTTTCTCAAGTAGCTTACGACTACCTAAAATAAAATTTCAGGATATGCAGGGAGACTTTTGACATGTTTATATCTGTGTAATAAAACTTAATCATATCTAATATATTTGAGACTTTATCTACAGAAACAGGTTTTAGCTGTCTAGCTGTAGCTTGAAAAATCAGACGCACCCTGTCACTTTACCAATGACTATATAGAGATGGACGATGCGTCTGTATTTTCTTCCACTGTACAAAAATGAAGCCAAAATATCCCGTATATGGCTGATGCCATTTTGCGTTTGTGACGTCATTTGGAGCCAGAGTTGTTGCGGTTGTAATCTCTACAGTATTGAATTCCTGCCATGCAAGCAATCGTGAGCAACACCATTGATTGCAAGCACACCGATTACCACAGAAAAATAAACACTTGAACATACATCAGCATGATAAGAACTTCCTGAAATGACAGAAACCATCTTATGGAAAAGTTTATTTCATGTGTTCTTTGATCTTTTAGCTCATGTCCCATCCACTAACATAAGGGGGCGGTGTTTATGACCTATACTGCAGCCAGCCACCAGGGGGCAATCAAGATATTTTGGCTTCACTTCTGGGCAGCTGTCATGTCGTTGGTCTTTACAATAAAGTCTGTTGACTGTACAGAGAGTTGCTCTCAGGTTGACTTGGCTCTGATGGTCATCACTATTACATCAACCCCTTTCAATCTGACACCCGATGCATCCCACCTTTAATGCCCTCTATCTCCCTGTCCCCCCTCTCTTTAGCCAAACACCCTTCCCACCTCCTCACCTCTTGGTCCTCTCTCCATATCCACGTCTACTTCCCCCCTCCCTTTGCCTCTGTCTCTATATTCCACTGTATCTTCGTGGCGCCTGGATGACTGTTGTCCTCTGTGTTTTTTAGTCTGGACCTCTCAGAATTGGCCAAGGCTGCCAAGAAGAAGCTCCAAGCGGTGAGTTGTACATTGGCTTGTTCATTCACATTACAGTTGTAAAGGCAGTGGTAAGACTTGCCTCAGTCAAAGTTGTAGTCTTCACACAATAGATTTAGCCAATTTTCTTGTGTCTTTGAAAGTAATTTAAAAAGTACTTGGTAAAAGAAATGGGCAAAAAAGTTGGTTGGTATAACAGACAGATTTTCTGCTTGTTGCCAAAATAGTGTTTGTCCTCTCCAGGGCCATCTGTTCAGCCCCACAGAATGATACAAATCCAAAATCTGACAGCTGATGGTTAGTTATCACGAGTAAAAGGACTTAAGTCACAAACTATGACACAGAAGTTTTAGGAAAAATGAAAATGAGACGGCATGTCAAGAAAATCTTTTCAGCCCATATGACTGTGGATTAGGTTGTTTTAATGTCTGTATTCTGCTCTCTTTCATTTTCTACAATACACACCTGTTGATATATCCGGGGTCAATTTGTTTGTCTGTGCGGCAGCTCAACAATCGGCTCTTTGAGGAGTTAGCGATGGATGTCTATGACGAGGTAGATCGCAGAGAAAACGATGCAGGTGAGCCTTTCTCCTCTTTCCTTTTGTCGTCTATGAGATAGACATATCAGTCTTGTGCTTTGACTTTTTCCTTATATGGAACTGAGATGTTGAAAGAAATAATAAAAAAAAACACTCCCACAAGACATCACTGACATGAACTTTGAGAAGAAAAGGAGAGAAAATCACAGAGAAAATAGGTGTTGAGAGAACAGAGAGTGAATCTGAAGAATGGAGTGAGGAGAAAGGGAAAATGACTGTTGAAGAGGAAAGCCAAATGGAGTGAGTGAGTACGGGAGGAGGAGAGATGAAGTGAGGAAGTGCCTCAGAAATTCTTGAGTCTCTCTCCTCCTCCTCGGCTTTCTCGCTCCGTCTCCTCTTTTTTTTTCCGTTTCTTCTCTCCCTTTCCTTCAGCAGCAGTAGCAGTCAAATTGTGCTTTCTGACAGAAGCACCGCAGGTAAGTGGCAAGGATACAGAGACACACACACACACACACACACACACACACACACAAAGAGACACACACAGCCACACACACACACACACTCTCAGCCACAAAAAGGGGAAGGCTCAAAGCACAGCAGTGGATTATAGGGGCTGAATTTCAGTTTTAGGATCTACTGTATGATTTTTACTGTGCTTTGGTTATGTCTCTCTGCATGTGTGGGTGGATGGACTGCGTGTTTGGCTGCCCATGTTCCATATTACACACACGCATACACACACACTCTCACACAGACTTATTTTTTGCTTAATGTTTGTGTCTCCAGTGTGGCTTACAACCCAGAACCACAGCACTCTGGTCACAGAACGCAGCGCAGTGCCCTTCCTACCAGTCAATCCTGAGTACTCTGCCACACGTAACCAGGTAAACACACTCATTCATGCACAAACCTACAGTTCAGGGAGCATGCATACACTCATATACACTTGTATTAGCTGATGCAAATAAATGCATAATGAAATTGAGGATAGTTTTTACCTGTAGACAATTACGAAACTGAGAAAAAGAAGAAACCAAAGAGAGAGGATTATAGCACATTGTGATATCTCAGACAGTAGACAGTGTATGTGTTTTGGTGAGAAGCCGAGAATGAGTGTGAAATTGACAAGGGATGTTCTTCAGCTGTGAAAGAGGAGGAAAGATGTAATCCATCTGTGTTTCTCTCTCCCCCTCTCTTCCCCTGGCTTGCGCTCTCTGTGTGTGAGAGAGAAATCCCATATGTCCTCTCACATAGTTTCTCCTCATCTGTGTGGCTCATTAGTGTAAACATTGACTTTTAACACGGGTATATACACACACAGAAAAAAGCGCCGGCATCGCCACGTTTGCTCTGCACTGACTGGGCAGTTCACTGTGGTCAGTAACTGCTGTCTATTTATGGTGGGAAACAGAAGAAAAACACACTCACACATTTAGAGTTGAACTTTTCTCCTTCTTTTGTCTTAAAAAAAAAAGTGCGTTATGAATAGCATTGTGTAATGCTTCTAATTTAGCACTTCGATGAAAATTGACCTTTTTAGTTTCCAGTATGCCAGCATACTAGTGTAATTGCACGGTTTATGTTTCTTTCCTCATGTTTGTGTATGTGTGAGCACACTTGTGATGGTGTGTGTGTGTGTGTGTGTGTGTGTGTGTGTGTTGTGAGTGTTAAGTATGACTGAGTTTTTCCACAGCACATGGTCGTTGACCACAGTAGTCACACAGACTGTGAACCACTGACTGTGGGCTGGATTGTATCTGTATTCCATACAACTGATGATATAACTTTAAAGGGATAGTTCAGATTTTTTAAGTGGTTTTTATGAGGTGCTTATTCATAGTTTATGTATTAGCTATAGTAGATGCTGGTCGGTACACCCCTAGTTTAAAGAAGCAGGCAGGAGTCTGACATGTAAGCTAAAATATGTACTGCTGTGGATGGGATCAGCAGTTAAACATATTTTAGCCACCTAAAAAAAGTCACACCGAACAACACACTTTTTAATGGAGTCTGGCTTTTAAGAGGGTGACCCAACAACTTCAGTTCCCCATTGGAAATCGCTGTATGAGGGAAAGGTAAAGCAGTGAAAATACTCTCAATGTAGCTTAAACTTAAACTCAGTAGAGCTTGAACTTAAACTGATATTGACTGCTTCAGGTGGTTAAAACACGACTGACATCCGCTTAATTTAATACACTGACCATGGATGAGTACCTCACACAACACCACATAAAAATCTGAACTCTCCCCATAAGAACCGTACAGTCATTTTCAGACAGCCATGCCACTGTGTGCACATGAATACATTTTATAACCTAAGCTTTAATTTCGGACTTGTTTCTTTTTCAGGGCCGTCAGAAGCTGGCTCGTTTCAACGCTCGGGAGTTTGCCACGCTTATCATCGACATCCTGAGTGACGCCAAAAGGAGACAGCAGGGGAAAGGGCTCAGCAGTCCTACTGGTGAGACACTGGGAGGAAGTGACCGAAAATTAGGACGGAGAGCGGAAGGCAATTATATAGCTTTTTAAGAATGGGGAGGAAAAAAAAGCAAGCAGGGTTTTCAAAGAAGAAAAAAGCCTTGAAAGTCTTTGAAAATAAACATAAATAGACATGGGTCATTGAAAGTGCTTTATGTATTTTGTGCAGGAATAGAAATTGAAGTTGTCTTGATATTGCCTTCATCACTGTAACACAGCACAACTGAGAAGTGAGCACACATTTAGCCTCTCTCTTTTTAGTTGTTGTCTGTGAGTTATTTTAAAACTTACTAGGAATTCTCAGTGTTTGATCTGTGTCTAAAACTATGCCCGTTGGGTCTTTGAATTTGAGGGAATTGGGCCTGGGAATTCAATGAATCCTTGATTTTGATATTAAAGAAGGTGCAGGAACCCTGACAAGGTGTTATAACTTAATCGAGTCACAAATATCAGTCTGCAGTCTTTTTTATCTCTGCAGAGATGGAAAGATAAAGGAGGGTTGATAAACTGTTGATGTGACAAATGTAATAAATAAGCACATTTTTTCCTTTCTCAGATCAATTGGATTTGGGCATAGATGATGACCAGCATGACTACGACAGCGTAGCTTCCGATGAAGACACAGACAGCGAGCTTACCACCCAGAACAACAACAACACACAACGCAGCAACCGTGCAAAGGTATAGTACTTTAACACACACTACTTAATCTGAAAAACCAATGTGCATCGTGCCACATGCTCACTTACCCCAACACTGTATTCAAGGTAAAATCTACTAATACACACATCTGCACAGGCTGACGCACTAATGACTTTTAAATTTTACACAACAATCGTCCTCTCGCATAAACTATTAGAAAAGTAATTGCATCAGCTCGCAAATCTCTTCTATGGTTTCCTCTTTATGACTGCTTGTCCCAGCATGCTTTGCGGGGAGTGGTCACAGTCAGGGCTGCCACATAGCTCCTGAGTGACATCATCAGCTATTCTCGGTCCTCGTCAGAGAGGCATTGTTCATACAGTGAGAGAGAGAGTGTGTGTAGTGAGAAAGAAGAGAAGAGAAGAGGAGATTGAGTGAGAGCAAAAGAGAGGGAAAATGGTGCAGAGTGGGAGTGGTGAAAATGACAAAGTAAACAACAGCTAACCCAGTAACTATCTCCTTTTTCCCGTGGACTTGTTTAGCTCATTGGGCAGAACTCAACAAACCACAAGTCAGAGGTTCCACTCCCATAGCCACTCCAGAAATATGTGCATCCATTATAACGTGCTCGTATCAAATTGCATTGTGTGGTGTTATCTACAGAACTACGTGGAGCCGTAAGAATAAAATAGAAGTGGATTGGGCAGGAGGTAGAAGAATTGTCAATGAAAGATATATTACATGGTTTGCTTTTAGGGAGTGGTATAGAAATGTGTTTGAGCATGCTTCAGGGCCACAGGAAGTAGGGGGCAGATGGTGCATTGAGAACAAGAACTGAGGCTCTACTGTCTACATGTGTGTGTGTGATCAGCTGTAGTACTGGCCTTCAGGCTGCAGGCCAACGCTCTTCCCTTCACACAGTTGTCAGCTCTGTTTTATCCAACTCAGTAGGCACTAATTCACACATCCTCATATTATCTCTGCATAAAAATGGAAGACATTACACACTGTATAGAGAAATAAGGTGTTCCACACTGGGTTTAAAGCCTGGAATAACTTCACAAGTCTCACAATGTTAGTTTCCTCACTTTGTTTGTGCCTCTCTGTCCACCTGTCTGTGTTTCTGTCTTTCTTTCTACCTGTCTGTCCGCCTGCCTATATGTCCTGTCAATGCAGAGTATGGACTCATCAGATTTGTCAGATGGCCCCATCACCCTGCAGGAGTACCTGGAGGTGAAGAAGGCTCTGGCCTCCTCGGAAGCCAAGGTGCAGCAGCTGATGAAGGTTAACAACAACCTGAGCGAGGAGCTCCGGCGGCTTCAGAAGGAGGTAGGGCCGTATGGAGGTGGGTGAAAGGATAGGCAGAGGCGAATTAGACAAAAGGTCAGAGGGTCAGCCCCTGCAGATGAGAAGCACAGAGCAGGAGAGAGAGCAGAAAGTGGGAGTTAAGCTTATATGTCATTTATTTTGTTTTTATCTCGTATAATAGTAATAGAGAGCAACAGGGGGCAGGGAAGAGAGATGGGATGAAGCTAGAAAGGTCAGCATGAATTGTGTCGTAGAAAGGTTGAGATAACCTAGTGGAGAATTCGGATTATAAAATCAGATAGAGGATGACGCCTGACGAAGGGGAGGTATTGAAGAACACACAAGGCAGAGTGACAAAGACAGGTTGGCAAAATGAGAAGCAGCAATTGATTCAGACAGAAGGAGGGCAGGATGATGGAGAGACAAGTGAATATTTTAATATCTTTGCAAGCTGATGTATTTTTCCTGACAGGGTGTCATTTTCCCTACATTGTTATCTGTCGAAGATATATTCGGTTACAGCTTTTCAGTGTTATTTAATAACGAGAGCAGACGTCATTGGAGGGTCCTACAAATGCTCGTCATCATAGTTGTCATTTGTAGTTTAGACAGCTCTCACGTAATAACGTTCATTTGTGGTTCACTGTCGCTTCATTTCGTTTCCTGTGAGTCATCATCATTAGCTCATTGTGTTCATCAGTGGCTGCCACAGTGTCAGATTATGTGACCCATGATTCATTCATGTGTTTATTTTTGTAACTTGATTGAGGATTCAGTTAAGCGTTGAGGCAAACATGCACTGTACAAGCAAACATTTACATGCGCACACACTGCAGATAACAAATACTGCGGTCAGAACAGTTGGTAGTCAACAGTGCCTCAGTGCAGGTCAGCCCTCATTTCCCCTCATTGACCCCTGAAAACAATCTATGCATATATACAGGTATGTTTCCTTCCACCCCATTCCCGAGACCTAATCCCTGCCTCGACATGTAACCTATTGAAATGTCTTCCCTCCCTCCCCAGTACTGATATGAGTTAATATGTATGAGCTTGTGTGAGCCTTTTACTGTACCTGTGATTGTGGATGCTTGTCTTTGACCATTCAGTTGACCCCCCTTCCCTTCAACCTCCCCGTGTCCCTCCCTCCATCCCTCCTTCCATCCTCTCATCCCTCCTTGCTCCCTTCCTCCTCTCCTGTAGATCACGCGGATGCAGACAGAGAACAGTGCACTGCGGGGGGGCCAGCAGGCTGGGGGGGCAGCTGGCCATGGGGTAGGGGGGCCTGGTGGAGGAGGAGGTGGAGGAGGCCACTGGCAAGGGGGTGCGATGAGAGGAATAGGCGGAGGGGGTCTGGGTGGGTTTGGGCCAGGAGCGGACCCCCCGGGGCTGTCGGTGCCATCCTCAGTCGCCCCCCACTCCCATCCCCATCGAAGGGACCGCCAGGCCTTCTCAATGTACGAGCCAGGGGCGGCCCCGGGCCCTACGGCCCATGGTCCCCCAGCCCTGGACTCCCTGGCAGCCCGCCTGCAGCCCCTCAACACACCCAGCGTAAGTTAGAACTCCCCCGGCCCCTTCTACTTCCCACCTCCCTTTGGTGGCCCTGATTGGCTCTCTTTGGCCTGATTGATGGGCGATAGTCCAATCCTGATCTCTCCGTTTCCCTTCAGCTTTATCTCTCCCTGCATCTCAGCCCCCGATCCTTCTCTTTCAAAGGTCCAGTTGTGCATGACCCCATTTAAATGTTTAAGTGTAACACTCATTTGTTTAAAAACAATTACTCCTTAACCTATGATTTTTAGCACCACAAAGGGGAAGTGCATAAGTGTGACGTTAAGGAGAAAGATGAAAAGTAGGGATTGTGTTGTCTGTTTGGTTGCCTGGCGACGCCTCTGATTTCTCCGCTCTCGAGCCTGCTGTGCACCCTTTAACCTTCACATTTTCAACCCTTTTTGACCTCCCAGATAGCTCTCCTGCTTCTGGACAGCTGCTTAATGTAGGAGTTTGATGTCACACATACGCAAGTGCATTCACACGCGCACAAAGGAGAGAGCAGTTTTTTTTAGCCTTTACACATGTCCATGCAAGTGTGCTGGCTTGGCTTGACTCTGTTTCACCCAGCACATCAGCCCAGCACAGCAGGGATTTGCATCTCCAAACAACAGGGCTACGAGTTTGAAGGTGTGTCTTTAACTGTCTTGAGTCGCTGATGTTTAAAAGCAGTGCCCTCTTTTACTATTGCACAGTGCAACAGTTATTGGTAGCCAGTTACTTATCATCATGGATTTTCAGGCTGTTGTTTAGAATTTTCTTGGCATTTGCCGCTTATTGCTTAAAAGACAGAGTCTCAGATGGCGAAAGCAGCAGGGGCTATTTAAACACGTCACTGAATTGTCGGTGAATGTCGATGCTGAATCTTACCTCGATGATGAAGCCGATCTGACGTCACTGCAACCTGCTTGGAGGTGGTCGGTTGCGCTTTTCCATCTGCACTTTTGGCCGCACCAAGTCAAACCATGCTTCAATGATTCATGTTTAATAACCAGTTTAAACATGCCGAGTCACATCTGAGATGGACCATCTCCAGAGTTGGGTCTAAGTGGCCAGCTGCCTCCAAGAGAGTTCCAGTGATAGGCTTTGTAATCACTCAGGTATAATTCAGTGTCATCCCTTCTGTTATTCAAGCAATAAGCAGTAGATGCAAAACCATAACAGCCTGAAATCCATGATGATGAGTAGCTGGCCACCAGCAACCTTTGCACAGTGCAATAGTAAACAGCACTAAAGAGGGCGCTGCTTTAAAATGTCATTGACTTGAGACAAATGTGTTGTATGCCCTGCTGTATGGAGGTCCCTGCCACGCTGTGCTGATGTGCCGAGTCAAAGTGTTTCAAGCAAAGCCAGCACATGTGTGTGGAAAAGGGCTGTAGGTGACCAGTTACAGCATTCAGCAGCATTTAGTCTACAGCAACAACTATGAAGCTACAGTATGCAGACGCACAACCACCCACCACTACTGTCAACCTCTCCATGGAAACCTTCACCACAACCTCCAGTCGTGTCCAATTCACCATCTCCGTACACAAATTTACCTGTTTGTCTGTTTTCTTTCTGTCTGTCTGTCTGTCTCTTCACCTGTCTGTCCCTCGCTCACTGCAGTGCAGCCATGCATCCTCTGGATGTAAGCATTCTGTCTGTCATTGCATTGTTTGCCATTTCATCAAAATGTAGGATTCTCTCACATGCAACTTTGCACCACTTCTGCTTACTATGCATTCTAATAATCGAGATCAACATTAGTGTAAAATATGTGTGAAGTTCCTTCATAGATGCTCTGTGTGATGTGTAGCTCTTCATCACCAGTTAGTTTAGTCGACAGTGTTCTTTGTACGTCAGTGTTAGATACCTTTAGAGGCATGTAGTCTTGATGGGATGATGGGTGAGCTGCCGAGTTGATCTGCCACTGCTCTCACTGGCTCATTCATCTTGTTTTTCTGCTGTTTATAAAAACATCTCCTCTCTCTGTCCCCACACACTTTTTTTCCTATTTCTTCATCCATCTGTCCGCTAATCTTTCATTCCCCCTCTCCATCTCTTTGTCCACACATCTCTCTTTCCCCTCTTGTCTTTGTCCCTCCATCTCTCTCTTCCTCTCCCCATCCTTGTTTTCCCCTCTTCCCACAGGTACGGAAGGGTGGCTCAGGGGGTCCAGCACCGTATGGAGGCCAGCATCTGTCTGGATCTACAGAGATGGGCAGATACATGGTACATTCTTATAGTTTACAGTTTTTATTCTAGAGTGATTTACCTTGTGTTACCTTGTTATGTCAAAATCAGTCTCCTACAGACACTGCAAGAGCTTCTGCATTTTATTATGGAAAACTTGTCCTCAACTAACTTGGGCTTCACATGTTAACATCCCAAATCACTTGCATTTTCAGAGAAGCAACTACAATTAATCTTTATTCAAAAGAAACGAACTGATGATTTGAAACAGCTTTTAAAATCTACACAATTTAGCGGACTTCTTGTTGAAATCATCACATTCACTGGGAACAAATGCTTGAACTTTGTGGGCGGAGGTGTCCATGAAGCTCGGGAGTTTTGGAGAGGTGGGTGATAATTGCACTGATAGAGCCTGTCCTCGCTCTGTTTCCCTCCCCAGGTCCCCAAACCAGAGAAGCATGGCAGTGGCACTGACAGCGACTATGACAACACACAAACATACGACCTCTCGCTAAGGTCAGACACACTGCAAGTCACTTAAACACAAGGATGAGTGTGTTTTAACCTGTAGCAAGTATTCCCTGTGTTATTTTTCACATTTAATAATTTTATTCTGAAGTCAGATGTGCACCCAAAAGTTCTGGCATGAAAGTTAAAAGTTATCATGGGATATAAATAAGATCATTAGTCATATAAAGCCCTTCAACTATTTGCTAATGGGATTATATGTGTTATATAAATGTGTCGTAATTTTTTAACTTTACAATTTGCTCTCAAAATGGATGTTTGACGTAGCTCCCTCTGCTGCGTTTTTGTGTTTTCTCTCTATGCAGAGCTGTAAATTTGGGCCACAGACTGACACAGAGGTTAATGATCTTTACTAACAGTTTTTAATGAGAAATAAATAAGCAGTCTCTTTAAATGTTGTTTTGTTACAATGTTGAGATGCTAAAACTCATTAATGCCCTCTGTGGCTTTCAGATCTCTAGCTTAGTCCAGGGTGTTAATTAAAGTGTATTTAATGTGTTTCTCTTGTCAGTATGGGCCGCAGCAGTGAGGAGGAAGGTCGCGGGGAGTCTGAGGAGGGAGGAGGTGGGGAGGCGGGGGAGCCGGACCCCACCCTGCCCTGCACAGAGGATGTCATACTGAAGACTGAGCAGGTGACCAAGAACATCCAGGAGCTGCTCAGGGCTGCTCAGGAGTTCAAACACGACAGGTAGGTGTGAGACAGATGTGGATAGAAGTGACATTGAAAATTGTTTGTCTCAGAATAAACACTAATTAAACCCTTGCTGACAAGTGATCCTCTAGATTGGATAACACATTGAGAAGTCACAGGAACATCTAGTGCTGGAAGCACCTTTTCAGAAATTCTGTTAAATTTATAAACAGTTTTTAACAGTTGCACCATGTGAATGTAGTCGTTAATGTCAGGCCAGGCTGCTGTTTCAAAGTTAGCCCAAAGCATCTCTTAGTAACAGACAACCTTGTTGCCTCAATTATTTCATAAGCTACTACTAAAATAAAATAAAAATTCTCTCCCTTTTTAGCTTTGTTCCATGTTCTGAGAAGATCCACTCTGCTGTCACTGAGATGGCCTCACTCTTCCCCAAAGTAAGTTCCGAGTACTTGCATTTTATTTCTCTCTTTGACCCCTTTCCACCAAAAACTTTCGGTGTAGTTACCTTATTTGTTTTGCATTTCCTCTGCAGACAGTACTCTTAAATGTAAGTGGGGTTGTTACACACAGCTCCATCTTGCTCTTGCTGTATTTTCTCGTCACTGACAGTGTAGAAAAAAGGTCTGCACCTTGTTGATCATCGACAAAACAGGTTGCAGCCAACATTTTCAATATAGAGAACAGTCTGGAGTGTTTAGGGTCTCTGTCACAATCGATGGGATATTTAACAATTGTGGGTTTGTGCATTGAGTCCTCGAGCAAGAGTGACAAATCTCTATTGACCGATCATCCTAAGCCCTGTTTCCACCGAGCAGTACGGTACGGCACAGTTCAGTTCGGTACGCTTTTTTCCCGTTTCCACTGTGAAAAGTTGTGAATGATACCAATAGAACTGTTTCATGTTGTCCCCATTTTTGGTCCCCCCTCTGTTGGGGTACCTAGCACACAGATCTGGTACTAAAAGGTGGAGCTGTGAACTCTGAAGTCCGTTGATTGGTTAATAGAAGATGTCACTCTGCTCAGGGCTGAGTTGTTGCTGGTTTTGAGGCTTCATGTAAACACTGTTCATACTGTGGAGAGTTTTACACATAGTAGTAGACTGTAAGTATAAAATGAAAGGATGTTTTGCTGCCTCTTGCAGCAGCTGGAATTGGAGAAAAAGTAACTTAATTCACTGGGACGACAGCCGGCAACAAGGTGGAGCATTTACTTGTTACATTACTCCATCAGCACACCTTAAATTTCAATATGACAACTTTGACCATTCCATTAGTTTTTATATGACATACACTTTTAGTAATGAGTGGATTTTCAAGCGTTTAAAAACATATATTCATTTCAACCGGGTTATGTGAACTGCATATATTCTAATCCCCACTCAGAAAAAATAAGCGTGGCGGAGTGTCATTCCTGTGAACTACAGCATCACTAACCCCCTGTGCTTGCCTGCAAAGGACTGAATGCACAAACCCGCTCCACTCTCTCACTCCAGCCTGTTTTGTTTTGAAAATGTCGGCATGTAACCCTGTTAGTGGACGATAAACAAGGTGTGGACTGATAAAGGAGAAAAATACAGTGCTGGATGGAGCAGTGAGTGACAACAACTCCGCCCACATGAAAGAGTACTGTTTGAGGTGGAAACGCTAAGCGGACCTGGGTCTAGGTATCATGTCTGAAAGGTTACTTTTGGTTCCAAAGGTATCATACCGAAAGTGTTTGGTGAAAACGGGGCTATGCTGTTCTAATGTGTAATGAACTGAACTGAAGTGGACCACTTGATGGAGACAAAGCTTCTCTTTCTCTGCCTGGGTGTTGCTCTCTTTATCTGCCTTGTTCTGTTTATACCACTAGAATTGAGTTTTGATCCACTTCATTTCTCTGTAGCGCCCAGCGTTGGACGCAGTCCACTGCTCCCTCCGCCTGTTGGCTTCCAGTGCCTCGCGGTTGCAGGTTGAGTGCCGTAAGGCAGCGCCCTCAGAGCCAGGGGGCCCCGCAGTGGACTACCAGCTCCTCACTCAGCAGGTCATCCAGTGCGCCTATGACATTGCCAAGGCCGCCAAGCAACTGGTCACTATCACCACTCGCGAGAAGAAACAGTGACCCAGCAAGTGCATGGATGGATGGAGAGGGAAGAGGGAGAGAGAATGGATCAATGCATGGGTGGGCTACGAGGGATGGGAGGGGCTTCCAAGAGAGGAAGGAAGAGGGAAAATATGATCACTGTAGATTGGAGGACGAGGGAGGGGGAGTGATCGGGAGAATGATGGGCGTGATAAGGAAAGGAAGGGTTTGGAATATGCATGGAAGAGAAATCAGATGAATGCAAAGAGAACTGATTGTTTAGTAGCAACACTACAGAGGACTGTAAAAGGAGAAATTCTACAAACATGGAAGTGAAAGTAGGGAGTGGAAGGATATAACATGGGAACTACAGCCTGCTGCAACCTTAATAAACTGTTGGAATCAGATGTGTATAATAAACCGCTTAACTGTGATAAGCATACGTGAAACACAATGGTGGCGATGTACAGCGAACTGGATCCTGGGATGTTACCGCTTTATTTATTCTCACCTGTCACTCGTCATCCCTCCCTCTCCCTGTTTACCTGAACTAGGGAGGGAGGGAGGAAGTGTATGCTGCAAGAGAGGGAAGATCAACCAATGACAAGCTCCACCACCATCTCCGTCCCTCCGTCCTGTGAGGAGTCAGGGCGTTTCTCCTTTCCTTTCCTCTCTGCCCCTCTCTCTCTCTCTCTCCCTCTCTCTCTCCGACCATACACGAAGCCCCTCTGCCTCCGATCCCGTCCCAGACAGGATGCGCTTGTGGTGCAGAGAAGGACCCACTGGGACCCATCCAGCTCCACCCCCACTCTACACCCCACCCAGGCTCTCAGATGCTCCCTCCTGGGTTAGCTTGTGCAGGGGGCTTCAGCTTTTCTCCGACCTGTCACCCCCTGTTGTCAGTGGTACACAGCATGATCTGGCATGTTTTAATTTCTCTCCTCTCTCTTCTTTTTTTTTCTTTTTTTTTTTTTTTTGATATGCAGATTGGTTTGGTCTGCATGTCTGAGGACAAAAATTACTGACTTACACAAACAAAACACTTACACTGGAATAATTGTTGTTTATCATGCCTATTGTTTTTTTTTTGTATTGATATTTTTACTGACTGTCATCTTGATTTAACTGTTTATGTATGTTTATTTTATTGTCTCAAATATGATTCTCATTTAGTGGAATAGGGAGACAGGTGGGAGTATGTGCTCGACTGGGATTTACGTACCGTGCACACACATGTAAAAGAAAAAACCTGTGAAATGGTCCTTGACATTTCTCAAGCGCTCTTTTTTTCTGGGTGACAGTTGAGGTTTTTTTCATGTTGTGATGTGTCCTGTGGCCAAGGGGTTGAATAGTTGCCAAAGGGGAGAGGGGTAAATTGTTTTTGGTTTAGATTTTCCATCAGACTGAAAGCCCCTTGGCGTATTACGACAGGACCTGGATCAAAATGCTCTTTTCATGTATCCTCAGCTATCTTTTTGGGGGCTTGATTTATCTTACAATTTGCCTCATTTAACAGAGCCAGTGGAATCATCTCAGAATCAATCTTATATTCATTTTTGTGGTGCCAAGCAGGATAATAAAATCATTTGGTCCAGTTTGTGTATGAGGATTAACCCTCTCCGGTCTTGCTTTGAAGCAGTATGTTATGTAAATGGCGGGTGTGCTCCTGGGTTATCATTATTTGCATGCATGGTTAACAAATGTTCAGTCACATTAAGTTGATACACAAACAGGTATGTTGCAGTTAAGCTTTAAAGCAGTCCTGTGGAAAGCACCAGATCTTGCAACCTGGAAAGTAAATATGATGAGAGCATAATTTCATTTGAGGAAACACGCTCATTTGAAATGGATTTAACCACCTCAAGTGTGCTTGATGTAGTTTGCCATGTGTTACGTTCACTTTTTTAGACTGTCTGGCAAGCACAATCAAGCCCACGTTCGTCACGGCCTGCTGATCTGGGCCACAGAAGTTGTCACTTCTAGCTCACTGTCTCTGATGGGAGGCAGCATTGGGAACAAAGATGTTGTTTTTTTTTTTTTTTTTTTTTTTTTTAAAAAAGAGAGCGCACTTAGCCTACTGTAGGTTTGAAGCTTGTTGTACTGTGCCGAACAAATACGGTCATATCTGTAACAAAGGATGCAGATGGGATCTAAAATTTGTCCCTAGCTGCCAGGAGGACCGTCCTCTTCTGGTTTAGATTCACCTCTAACCCTTCTCCAATGGTTGTCGCTCAAAGTGTTTATGGCTTTAATGGCTGGTTGTTCTTGCATTGGTATAATCTATAATCATACTCCGAAGGCCTCTGCACATTAAATTTACTTGCCTGAAATGTTGACCTCATCCTCTGAACAGCAGTTGCATCTCAATTTCTCTCTCGTATTGCTGCCTTTTAGCAAGAAGCAATCAGACCTTGATTAGCCACAAACACTTTGAGAGACTGACGCTACACCACCTTCAGCACTTCTCTGTCCAGTTCATTCATGTTCGTTTTTCACACACGCCCCTCTTATACAGTTGCACACACGTCTCTGTAGGGGAGGATGGATTGTTTGTTCTGTTCCCTGTCAAAATGAATCATGTCCAGAAGACTCATGAAATGTATCATTGTTTGATATCGGATGCCTTTGGACGTTTTCATCATCTCCTGTTTGACTGAGTTACAGTGACGTCGTACTGACTGCTGAAACAACACAAATACTTCCCATACACACGCACGGAGGGGCCAGCCGAAAAGCTCGTCCCCTCAAATCATGATCGCCCAAGTTTTAGACTAGAGCCATATATATGAACATATATTTTCATGCTATATTTTATATTAAGCTATATGTTAGGGTTATGTCTGCGAGATATTTATGTCTATTTGTTGGCCCAAGTGGGCTTCAGGCTGTGGGCACCAAATCGTCATTCAGCTCTTCAGTCTTGGCACCAATGTACTTGTAGATGTTTTAAGTCTTGTGACTACGGTTATGCTGTGGTATTATTGTCCCCTTATGTAGTTATATTGTACATATTAGCGATCCTACTGGAATCGGCAGGAAGCGAAGAGCAAGAACAGTTTGATGTAGGCGATTACTCGGCGGTGTGGTCTGAGTTGCACTATTTTCAAACATCGACTGGGTGAAGTAGGATCTACATTATGTACTGCACTCTCCCAAAGGTCTTAGTTCAAGTACATTAGGTGCAGGATGCAGGGTTTGATTCGGGATGGGGCAATAGGAAAGGTCTGAAGCGCACTTCGGCTTAGCACTACAGTCATCTCAAATTGTCGGGAGGAGGGTCTTAAATGCACACGGCCTTCCCCGAGTTAGACGACACTACGTAGGGTGCCTCTAGTATGAATGTTAAATGCTTCCGTCAGTTCATGCCCAACACACTTTCTACGCCTCCATCATGTCCAAGATTTAGCACATACTCTTTAACATCAAACACACACCCTCAACTTATCAGTTGGACCAAGCCTTCTACAAAGTACAAACATTAAATCTGCAGCCAGTGAATTATACACACACACACACTTCTGATACTCAGCCATTGGCAGTGCACTGTGGCCTGTACTGTTGCTGCCCCTGTGTTTCTTTACAGCTCTACACTTTGGGAGATGGGTGACGGGAGAGTTATCTTTTAACAGAAGATGTTAAAAACTGTATAAAGTAGAGAAAACAATGACTTAAAAAGGTCAATCGTAATGGAAACTCATAAGCTGTACATTTGTAATAAAATAGTAAAACAAGTGACTTGTCCCAGGTCTGTCTGCACGTTTCTTCATACTGTATGATGCTCAGTCTTACAGGGACAAATGTGAACTTATAACTCTGCAATGTTCAGGACAGTCTCAGTCAAGGCCATGGAGTTAACACTGGACGGGACCAATCTAGCAGAGAGTTGAGGTCCCTAACCACCCACCCACAGCAGTGAAGCAATGGCTTCTACTGGGGGACGGCAACACCACATGGACAAACCACAATAACACTAGAACCAGAAGTAACAATAATGTCAGTTTGTTAGGTTTATGTGGGGGGTCATTTTAGCTCCGTTTCCATCAGACACTTTCAGTATGGCACCTTTGGAACCAAATGTAACCCTTGAGACACGGTACCTAGACCCTAGTGTTTGACACAGATGGAAGTCTGGACCTCGTTTATGTCCACAGAATGAGGTTGCACACCAACATTTTCAGAACAAAATATACCAGGCCTCTCTCTCCAGTGGATGTTTAATAGCGGGTTTCTGCATTCAGTCTTTCTCAGGCAAGCTCAGGGGTTTAGTGTTGCTGTAACCCACAGGAATGACACTCCGCAACATTTTTTTTTCTCCAAGTGAGGATTAGAATTTAGGCGGTTCACATAATCCGGTCGAAATTCATTTATATAAACGCTTGAAGATCCACTCATTACTAAAAGCGTATGTCATATAAAAACTAAAGTGATGGTCAAAGTTGTCACAGTGAAAATTAAGGTGTGCTGATTGATTCACGTTAACTCATATTGAGTAACATTACGAGTTAATGTTCCACCTTAAAAGTCACTAGCAGTCAGCCCAGTGAATTGTTATTTTTTTCTCAGCCTCCAGCTGCTTCAAGAGGCAGCATAACATCCTTTCATTTTATAGTTACAGTCTACTAATAAAACTAGAAAAAAGCGTACGGTACGGGACTGCTTGGGGGAAATGAGGCTTTTGAGCACACTTGAATATTGGTAGGAACGTCCACTCCCAGTCACTATATAACATAATTACCGTCTTGGTTTCAGTCAAGAATGAGTGCCAAAAGATTTCTGTGTTAAAGGAAAAAATGTTACTTACTATGATGCTGATGACATTTAATGGTATATGATGCATAACACCTTAAAGTATTGCGTTTAGTTGTTACCTGAATTAATGGTTTTAATTATCCTATACCTTTTACCCTACACTAATGCTTAAATTGGATGCTTGCAGACTTTTCCGTAATACTTCTAATTTTTCTTCATAAAACAAACATTGTACTTATTTAAAATTTAATTTGCAGAGCCCCCTTGTGTGAAAATAGTTTTTAATTGCCCCCATTAAAGGTAATTATTTTGCTTTGTTGAGGTGATTGAGCCCTCAGTGTTCTAATGAAGACACTCAGCCACTGTTAGTGCATTGGTTTATTTCCATTAACAAGTTCCAGAAAAGAACAACTGATGACCTCACAGGGAAACTGTTTTGTTAACTACAACTACAACCACTATAACCCATCATAGCATTTCAAATCCATGTGATAAACCATATTACATTTCTTTTCTAAACAAATGAGCTCTTATTTTTATAGTGCATGTGGTTGTGAAATGTATTTTTCATACTTCTTTCTGAAGATTAGAGCTAGACTGATAGATTAGCCAATACATCTGTGTCCATCAAATAAAAATTACAGCTCAGAAATGCATTCAATGAGTTTGAGATAATTTAGAAAGTGTCTCGATTATGTAGAGCACTCACCACAATTCTTAAAACCAACAAAACTAAGGGATCCTTATCATAAATTTCAATTTAAAAAAATATTAAATTCTTATATCAAATACTGATATTGGTTTCAGCTTCAAAAATCCAGTTATTGGTCGATTATAACTGGTCCTACTGGTCTGTCTAACATTTGCTTATGGTGTTAAAAGATTCGAGGTCCACACGCTCCACACTTCTGTCATGAAATTTATTGTGTTTGTAAATCCTTCTCTAAAATCTGTCCGAAACAGTCTTCAAAATAACGTTAACACGTTCGTACCATTTAATATCAACTCATAGCGCACACAGTGTTGCTTAGAACAGCAACTTAATATTCACATAACAAACCTTCGCAGGTAAAAGCAACCTATTACTACAAAACTATTTATTATTATTTATTAAAGACAATTTTCTGATAAAATGTAGCACAACAAAAACAATCCCCGGGTTGGAAAACTGAGAATCCAGAAAGGGAGACGTCGTACTGATTGTGATAAATGGAGTGAGCAAAATGAGGCGTGTACACTGTGCAGTGTGTACGAGAGTGCGATCAGACACACGTCGTAAAAAAGGAAAAAAAAAAAAACTACAATTTGCCAGTCATTTAATAAAACCCGAGGACTTCTCTTTGATGTCGTGTTTATAGGGATGTCCTGAAGGGACTGATGCAGAACCACATAAGTGACGGGTTGTGTGAGCTTACATCACATACACTGGCATCTTTTGTAAATATTCTTTGATGTTTGTGATTTAGGGGCTGTGGTTTGAAGGACTGAATGTTAAGTCTATGACGTACATATACCAGTTGCTAAGAAATCATTTGTGTTCTGGCTGTTAATTATAGTAGTACATCATTTTTAATGATTAAAAAATGTTTTTCTGCTCTCCCTTCTTCACGAGGAGTAGATATAATGACAATCCCAATCTAACAAAAAAAAAAAAAAATTGCAAGAGGCGATGTAGACAAGGAATCTAACTGACCCTTCAGCAGTTGTGGCATTTCAGCCTCAGCTTTTCATATCCAGCATCTTTTTTTGACAGAGTTGGTCCAGTCCAGCTCTGTCAGATAAACAGCAAGAGTACAAGACAGCTGCATGCGTATAGAAAGTATGAAGATTAGGAATGCTGCCCTGATAATGAGTCACAGTCTTATAGTTGCAAGTATTGTCCTCTCTTCACCTCCTCTCCATGAAATGACACTTGAGTGCGTTCTTGACATTGTTGGGGATGTTTCCTTCATGTTCTTATGGATATTCATCTGAGCTGGAGGAGCTGGGCAGAAGAACACACTCCTGTCTTCTGCCTCTTTTACGCCTCCTGTTTGCAATTCGTAGCCTCCTGCGGATCACATCTGGGGCAGACACACACACAGATAAACACAATATTAATTAAACTGCTTGATAAAAAAACGATGGCCTCTTGTTCCATTCACCTAAGATGATGGCTTAATTTAACATAATTTAAACTAGGATTGGTCAGAGCAGGGTTCCTGCAGGTTTAAGACACTTAGATTTAATGCTTTCAAAGACTTTTTAAGGCCACACAGAATTAGTATAAAGTATAAGAGTATAAGACCAAATTTACAATAACTAAACCTACAGGGGGTTAGGGACAATTTTGCCCAAATATTGTTACCAATTAATTTGAGATTTTACAATTCAACGCCAGAAATGAACAATTCATAAAATCCAACTCCCCTTGTCTTAGCATTTTAAAGATTTTTGAAAGATTGATTCAAGACATTTTGATACCAATTAAGGCCTCCTTATTTTTAGATTAATGAATTTAATGCCTCTGTCTCCATACAGTGTACATGGATGCTACATATGCTAACACTTTAGCTAGTAGCAGCTAGCACTAACCTTCCAGTTGTCATGCCACTGAAAAGGAAATAAAAGAAAGTGATTTGGCTAATCAGAACCTTCTGAGTTGATCTGAGCTGTGATTGGTCGGAAGCAGGAGTTCACAAAAAAGCTCACTCGTGATTGAACCCTGTTTGGTCTACCTACCTGCCACACTGTCGTAGTCCTGCTGTGGGTCGTGCCAGTAAAGACTGGGCGCGGTCCTCCAGTGTCGGTACAGGCGTGTGTGAAGTACTGACAAGGTCAGGAGAATCAGCAGGAAGCCCAGTGCCGCTGCTGCCCACACTGCCTCGTCTGTCCTTGGGGTCCTTGGGAACCCCTTATTCACAACAGTGGCTGAGGCGTCTGAGTCCTCGTTACATTCACATTGTTCACCCGCTCTGCAGCTTCCGCAGTCGCGGCTGTTGGGCTGTGGGTTCTGGTGTTGTTGTGGCCTAGGCGGAGGCTGCAGTTGGGATTTGGAAACCAAATCAAAGCCAGTCTTTTCACTCTTGTGGTGAGAGTGTGAGTGACTGTGTGTTTGCCTATGTTCCAGCTCTCTCTCTTTAACATCTACTACTTCGTTATCCTTCATCGTGCCATCTGCTGTGGTGCCTTTATTAAAGTTTGTCCCTTGAGAGATGCTCTCTTTGAGGCTTTGTTTGACAGAGTCTTTGTCTCTGTGTTTGGCTGAGTCTGTACCTTCATCTTTGGAACTGAGGGCCAGGGTATCAGGTCTGGCAGTATCGTTATGCTCCGTGTTCACACCATGTGCAAGAACGTCTAATCCAGCAGAGGGGTTTGGGTTTCTGGGGTCAGGAGGTTTAGGACTGAGCTGCTTTGCTGTTGTTTGTAGTGTTAGTCTGCTTTTCTGAGATGCAATAGCCTCACTTTTTAGTGTCGTCTTAGACATATTTGACCTCAAAGAAGTTGTGGGCCTGGGTGTTAGGCCCTGGTTTATGATTTGGATATTAGACTGGGAAGGAACTTCCTTGGGACCTGGAGGATCAGAGAGAGTCTTGTTTCCTGCTGATGGTCCAGGTGTGCTGTTGTAGTTCTGGACATCTTCTGTCCTGCTGAGGGTGGTTCTGTTGCTCTGGTGTGTTACTGCATTTTGTCTTTCGTTTTTCTCATCCTTGTTATTCTCCTGTGTTTCTCTAATGGCAGCTCTTATCTGCCTGCTTTTGCCTTCCTCTTTAATGTATTTCAAGCTTTTCTTCTTTATGTTGGACTCTGTCTCCATCGCTCCATTCAGCAGAGCAGAGATGGTCCGCTCACAGCAGCGTCTCACAGACTCCTGTGGATTTACAATAACAGCTACTTAGAGACAAAGTTAGTTTTTTATTCTGCTTTTATCGCAGCACATATGAAACTACTGATAATTAACACCATGTAAATGAACAAAATCAGCAAAGCGGTCAGTCAAGTCTCCAAACCTTCATCGTTGCTGAGTGTTTCTCTGGGTGTGTGTGTTGCTGCTGGTGCTGCTGGGCTGACCAGGTTAGCAGCAGGTTGTAGTTCCTGCTCTGGCTCACACCACCAGACGTATTTCTTGTGGATGTTGTGGTCTCCAGCCAACCGCAGACATCTGAGGAGGCCAGAGTGGACAGCTCCAGGGTGTGACCCCATGACACCAAGGCTATTGGCTGAACACAAAGCAAACAGTGAACATATCGTCCCCCTCTGTCCTCGTGTCCTAATAATGGTAACAGGGACAAAATGGCTGCTTATATTACTGCTGCTCCTCAAAGTCTGTACCACATAGGTCAATTTGTGAAAGAGTGGTAGTGAGTTACATCTTCAGTTGGGCTCAGGTGTTAAGGCTAGCAAAGCTTGTACTGTAAGGTTCAAAATATTCCAACAAGTGGACAGTAAATATAAAGCCTTCAAAGAAATCTTTACCTCCCAAATGACCATTTGTATATCAATTACTCACCCTGTGTTAATGTTGAATTCACAAAGAAAACATGGTTTTTCTTCCTCCAAGGTCAATGAAGAATCCCCCAACTTAGAAATTTGAATCAGAGTCATGAGCAAACAGGTTTAACAACAGCAAAACTATACCAAAAGAACGTTTTACAAACTCTTACACAACTCATGCTGTATCATCCAAGTCTCATTTATTCAGTTGTGTAATCAGTACTTCCCAAACTGACGACACTTTCTGACAGGAAGCTGAACTAAAAGTGAAACTTTATCTATGCTCTCTTCAGGGCCAGACTCCATTGACAAAAAGAGTAATTTTACCAAACACAGGAGCTGCTGGTCTACCCCTGCCTCAATTGGTTGGTTTGTTTGTGGTGTTGTGTGACTTTGGTGTTTTAAAAGGGTTAGTTTGGATTCATCGACATCACACATTAACACAAACTGAGTAACTAATTGAGGCAGTGGTAGACCAGCAGCTCCTGTGTTCAGGGAGCTAAAATGACTCTTTCTGTCTATGGACCCTGGCTTTGAAGAGAGCATAGATAAGTTTAGCTTTTAGCTCAGTTTGCCATCGGAAGGGCTGTGTGTTTGGGGGTGTACTGATCATATGAAAGAATAAATGAGACTTGGATTGTACTGCCTGAGTTGTGTGAGAGTTTGTGAAGGGATCTTTAAATTTGCTGTTGTTAAAACACAGCTGCATATGAATTCAATTAATCAAGAATCTTCTTTGTTTCTGGACTCTTTCACTGTGGAAGCATGCGAGAAAAACACACTTTTCTTCAAGAACTTAATGTAACACAGGGTGAGTTACTGATATACATGGTGATTTAGGGGGTTAGGTTTTCCTTTAAAAGGTAGCATTGAGATTCACCTGCCCCTTACTGCCCCTGGTGGGTTAACAAACAAAGACACGGGCTTTGTCTCACCACGTGTTCATTGAGCTGTGGATGTGACGTAATGATGTAGCCTGGCAGACAGGAGCGGGCCAGGACAGACAGAAGCAGACGCTCGTGGCGAGGAGCACAGGGATGGTAGAGCAAAACAGTGGCTCCATGCTGGAAGACACGCAAACACAAGCACACATGTGACCATCCATGTCTCCATCCTCTAGCATCACCACAGGGTCTCCACCAGAATTTATGACACAATTATGAAAGGGTGCTTATAATAATGTCAATGTTGTTCCCTCCTTGTTTGCTGATGACGTTTTTCAGATGACAATGACTCCTAAGGGAAAATGTCTGGGCTCCTCTGTGGAGAAAAACCGCTGACAATCACCAACTAATGCCTTAAACCTGCTGGGATTTCCAGTCTCTTCTGGCATTATGGTCTACAATGGCCCATTAACAAAAAATCCCTAACATGGCATTACTGCTTGTTAAATCCCTCATATTCAAGAAAATATATGCTCAGTGGCAGCCCTGCTACCAAGGGTCTAAACAAGTCTCGTGTGAGAGTTAGCAAACTTTCCTCTAAGGGTAAGTTGGGTAGATTTCAACCTTGATCCTAATTTCCTATGTTTGTTTGTTGGGGAAAAACAGTTTTTGAAATTGGTCCAGTATTAGGTGAGAGCGCGGCAGCAACTAGCCTCGAAACAGGTTGCAATGTAACCACTTGGAACACGTTTGCACCGTCAATTTACATCCAATAAAAGTGCTTTTTTTTGCCACTGACATGCTCAGATTGTTATTCTGTCCATTGCTATAAGTGCCTGACAACACTGTGGAAACAATCCCTACGGACATACGCTTTATTATTAATGAGTAAGAGCCTTTTTGTTTAATCAGCCCTGAAATTATAATCGCTGAACCCACCAGGCAGTAATTTTAATGTAGAGCAGCATATTTTCACATCTGACTGGGTGAATGAAGGGTTTAATTCGATCAAACCAGAGTTGTAAAATGTTCCAACAGTGGAAAGACAAACCAAGTTGTTTTTCATGAGTTTAATTTAGTTTCTATCTTCTCTGAAACCACAATGATAAAATGACTATTCATTTGAACAGTGTAAACATGCTCTGAATGGTCACATCACAGCCTGTTTTGCTGCCACAGGCTGCTGCCTCTCTCTCAATACTGGACCAATATAAAAAAATGTTGTTTTGATATTTTAAAAAAACATGGGACAATAGAGTCCAGGCTGAAAATACCAGACTTAACTTTTAAGATGCAAGGAAACAATACACTGATTGTGTCTTAACTCCACAGTTTGGTGCATTTCCAGCTAAAACTGATTTCTAGATTGGGAAATAATAAACAAGGACAAACTGGTAACTCAGAGGAATTTGTTTGCCCAACAGCAAATCTCTGAACCCCATTTGTTAAAACTATGGCATCTTAAAAAGATAAATACGTGAACGTGCAAGATAGCACAATACCATGTTGACTCTTGACTGTCTTGTCACTTCAAATGGACTAACTAGAGATACTACAAAAACTAACAGTCTCTTCATTGATGTCCCAAACACACGTCAGTCCATTTGCTGTGATTATCAGATTTAAGATTGGAGACCGGAGACAGAACACCAAAACATGTTTGATGTTGCAACTTACGTGCAGGTTATTGAGCCACCGTTGAGGAGGACAGTACAAGTACTCTCCACTCTCTGCCCCTACTGGTCTGTAAGCTCCACTATAACACACACACACAAATACAGACACACATGCATGACAAAATTACAAACGTTGATAACTTTATTGCAGTTGCAAAGTACAGAAACCAAGTAAAATCAAGACACTGTTGTAAGTGTTTGTGACTAAAGGTGTCCATATTAATATGTGTGCATGTGTCACCTCTTGAGAGCGTTTATCTTACACGTCTGCCCAAACACACAGCCTTACCTGTTGGGAATTGTGTGGTTGTAGGAAATAGATTTGTCCATGCACACCTGCTTGGCTGGCTGCAGTAAAAAGAAATCAGTTCATATGAGACTTTATCGTCTCATCTCTAGGTTAACTATAAACACACAGTCATGAGTCACCCAAGAAGAACAATGAGTAGGCAACATTTCAGTTTACACCTATTTGTTGTTGACAACGATACCATAACAAGACATTTAGGTTACCTCAAACTAAGGCTTCAACAATATATATTTTTTGAAAAGTTGATACCAGGGCAAAGCTTTTGGTTAATTTCATGCATTATTTGTGATCTTTGAACTACTGACTGTTATTCCATTGCGCTTTGATTTCAGAAAATAGCCACTAAGGGTCAAAGGTTTGGAAAGACGTCTCAAATAAAGTGCTTGATAAAGTGTTTACTCACCGCAGGATCATACACTGTGTCAATACTGGGAAGTCTCTGCAGATAAGAGGGACAAATCACCAGGTAGGTGTAATGGCTGACTTACACTACAGGCAGTGCCAGATGTACATGTACAGGATTTACCAAAACAATTACTAGTTTCCCACGATTGTAGAAACTTCCTGGCACAGAGTAAACACACCCCACCCATCTGTGACAATGAGGCTTTGGAGATTATGCAGGCACATATGATGACAATAATGATGATGATGAGGGTGGTTGTATCCATAGTTACCTGTGCAGACTCTGGCCAGGTGGACCCTGGACAGTCCCAATACGCAGCGTCCACAGGCAGGTCCCTATCCAAAGACAGCTATCACACACAGACACAATAATTTAGAGCATTTTAACGCCTACAGTCACTGAACATAAATATTTTGTATTCAAACCACTAGGTGACACGCGCACACCAACAGACTTAACAGGATAAGTTACCTTTCCGTTGTCACATCCGGGCCCCGGAGACTCGGAGACACCGCACCGACCCAAACTGACCCACAGCGCGGCCAGCACAGTCACTGTCAGCGGCGGGGACGTCGTTTGGCTCAGCATGGTCACTCAAGTGGAACCAGACGCACATTTAGACACTAGTTGTCATGGCTTCCCTTCGGTCCTCTACCTACAGAGCGGCTGACGAAGAACTGACCTGTCATTATCCCGAAACACGAATTATCTTTGGCGGAGAGAAACTACCGAGGGAGGCTCGGTTAGTCAACGCGATATGAAACAACACAAAATGCTGTGTACTTCCATGTTACTTCACTAGTTTGATACCAAACATCAAGTTACTCATGTTATTGAAAGATTTGTTTTCCTTTTAAATTTCAAAATATAATCGTTGTATCAACTTCATTGGCTATATTACGATCTTAAATTTCTATTTTCTACACCTAATGAGTCAGTCAAGTATTTTATACGATATTTTTTAGTCATGCGCGGGCTAGTTTTTGTTCTTTTTATCTTTTCTATTGAAATTTTAATGTCGTGACTTTTATTTTGGGAATAAAATCCCATATCCGGAAATGCGCTGACTCTCTTCCGGGATAGCTTTACTCAGTTGTTCAACTACGGAAGCTGGAAAGGAACATAAAAATCGAAGTAAGATACTATACTGCGGTTTAAACTCTGAATTTCCTCTGGGAGGCGACACAGCAGAATAATACAACTTGATTTAACTCAGTGTTCACTTTATCTCTCGTAGTTGGTGCATGGTTACAGAGGTAAAAACGTTTTTGTTAAAGATAGAGTTTAAATAATAAGTTTTGCTTCTCCAAATACTGTTCAGGTTCAGGTTCAGGTTACTTTACTCAAGGGTAAACTAGTTTCGCAATCGAGAGTCAAAACATCCATCACAGTTTGAACAATCAAAACAAAGCATAAAACATAGAATACAAGAAAGAAATCGACAGAAAAGTGTGTTTTCAAAGAATGTACTAATACAGCCATTGAAAAATTCTTAAAATTGTTTATTAAAGGAGATATTTACTCCAGGGGTTCCTAGCTCCAGATAATCATGTGTACATGCTGATATTTACACATTTTATCAGGTTCATTTACCATTCACCAATGTGACTTGTTGATTGTGTCAAAATTAGGCCTTTATGGCCTTCATTTATATTGTTTTTTTTTTTTTTAATGTGTCATTGGGATTGACTCTTTTCTATGCTATAGTAGGTGCACCCACAAATGACACCTGCATTCATGAACTGCAATTAGAATTTTTTTTTTAATAAGTACCCACTTAGCCTAGTTTATAGGATACAATCTTGTTTATTTTAATGTAATTTTTGCTCTGTGACATTGTGGAGGCCTTGATGCATTTATTATCAAGATTCCTCTTTGTGTATTGATGCTTATTCTTGATGTAAACATACCCCTATAGGTTAATTTTTTAATGTACCTTCAAGATTTGGATATGTATGTTTTTAGAGAAGTTAACTATAAGGACTAATGCGTTTATTCTCAAGCCCGTACCTAGCTAATGTAAACTTTTTGGGGTATCTTTAAGATTGTCAGCAAGCAGTTTTCAATTTTACTTCTCTATTCCTGTTTTTCTATGTATAATGTTAATTGTCAACTAATTGGTGTTGGGTATTTGGCCTTTTCACTGCACATGGGTATTGTGACTAATTGCAAACTCACAGCCACTCCTACTTAAGATGGCTTGAAACCTTGCAGCATTAAAATCATTATTTTTGCATGTTAGATAGCAGGAGTCTTCTCTGCAAGCTTTATGCTTCTGAGCTGCTAAAATAAACCAAGTTTATTTTTATATTATATTATATATTTATATTATATTATATTATATATATATATATATATATATATATATATATATATATTATGTTTTGCAAATTAGTGTGTGCTATTTTTTTTATTATTTTTTTTTTTATTTTCGCAATTGGTATCGACCTGTTAAGCATAACAAAACTTTACCCTCTGGACTCTGTAACCATGCAGACATTGCAGGTCGGCTGTCCTGTCACTACTGGCAGTGACGCCACTGAAACAGGCATTACCTGTTGGCAAGATAAACCAGCCATTCCAGCTACGCAAGGCACACAAGTCAGATATAACAGCCACAATAATACTGGCTGTAAAACGTTGTTGCTTTCAAAATAAAAGCAGACTGTATAAAAACAGTCTATAAAACAAATGCGTAGAATCTCTCACCTGTTTTGTCACAAAGAACAGACATTATTGGTTAAAATGACCCAATTGGCACATTAAATACATGGTAGGGACATTGTTTTTTTCTTTCAAAGTGGGTTTTATTTTGAAATGTGTGAAGGGAAGTCTTTACATTTGGATCTCTTGACACCTCTCCTGTTTCTCCACCCTTTGAACACTTAAGCTCCACACACACAAACACACACCTTTTTATAAAAGTGCACAGGTGGGTCTGTCAGAGGAGACGTGGGTCCCTGGACAGAGGAGAAGTCTGGACCTAAATGGAGTCCACCCTCTCCAAAGGTTTGTTGCCTTTTTGATCATGATATGTTTATCCCTCTGCTGAGTTTTTCAAGTTTGATGAGTGTGAGCTTAATGATATTTTAGATATGGTCTCTTTATTTGACTCAACAGACAACAATATTTTCAGGAAGAAAGAAATAGATCCATTTATTTTCTGTTTTATAGAAGTGTTTCTATGACCAGTGTAGCCTGTTGACACAAAACAAAGACTTTGTCTTGTTTCCTTTTACTGTTGAGGGTGTGGTACCTTTCTGAAATGTTGTAAAAAGCAGTTTGTTGGTTTATGGCAAAGGGTACCGATAGTAATCAACCTGCAGGCACAGTTTCACTGATTTAGCACAATGTTTGATTTTTTTATCCTCTATATTTTAACCCAGCTGTCCATTTAAGGAAGTGGGACAATAAGGAAGTGCAGCAGGATAGTCAAAATAGGTTGCTACAGCAATTGATCCTCCATAATGTTTGTACATACTGTCAGCTCATCAGCTGATTGTTTTATGATTCTGAATAGAAATAAAAGAGAAATGAGAGTAACTGGTGTCTGTCTCTAATCCTGTCTTTCTGTAACTGTGTAGCTCCTGGTGGAGCGGGCGCTGCAGGTGTACAGCAGCCAGCGACCGTCCATCCCGGTGGTTTGCAGCCTCTTACTGAGGTGGCAGAGCCTGCAGACATGGGCAAGGTAGAGGGAACCAAGGGTCAACCCGGACAACCTTTAGGAGCAGGAGATGGACAGGTGAGCAAGAGAGGCATTTGGAAAGCACAGAACAATCATTTGAATAAAAGGTGCATGTATGCATTACAATTTAATTCAATAAAGACAGTGACTATGCACAGGCACGGTGATTACACAGCCTGGCCATAGAGACTGGCCGACCTGGCTCCTAGAGAGGACAGACTGTGTCAGCTTTGTCCTCAGAGACAGGTGGAGACAGAGCTACATCTCCTGCTACAGTATAGCACATATGAAGACATCAGAACAAAGTGCTTTACAAAAATTAAATGTAAACTCCAAGATTTTAATTCACTCTCTGACCAGACTAAAATGCATCATTTTCTTGGAGAAAATAGAGTCAGATGCAGCAAGATATGCCAGTGCATGTCACAGCTTAAGAGACAGCCAACACAACAACACAGATCACAGTCTGCCTTTTTTACTTACTCCTTCACTTAATGAGTTTATTTTTTCTTTAAATGTATATCTATGATTTTGTAACTCACTGTCTTAAATTGTAATGATGCTTTGGCAACACTTTATGTCTCTTTTATTGATTATTTTTAAATTAAGAAAAATAATAAATAAAAAATGATACATATAAAATGCACCTACAGCTGCTAAATGTTTAATTGCATTGTTTGTCAGCTCTGTTTATGTGTTGTTATCCACTAGTCTGAACTCTAAAGACTGCTGAGGGCACGGTAGATGATCTCTGCCTTCTCTTTTTGTCTGTCACCAGGAGCTGTACTCATTTGACAGCTCTCTGTCCTCCTCGGACAGCGAGGATGAGGGTCTCGGCAAAAAAGACAAAAAGAAGAAGAAGGAGCTGAAGAAGAAAAAGAAGAAGAAGGTGTGTGCCTCAAAAAGCTTATCTTCACCACTAACTAAGCTTTATTCACTATTAAATGCCTTTGCCATTCTTGGATATTCTTTTGGAAACTGTTCGTAAAGTACCATTGGTAATAGTTGGACAGACTCTGTTGGGAATTGTTCATGTCCAATAAAACAAAATCATGTCACTACACAACAACCAGTCGCTCCTGTGGCTTCTTGAGGGTGTTGCCTTGGCTGGAAGCTACACACGTGAGGCATAAAGAAGTGGGCTGTGCCTAACAACAGCCAGTCAAACAGGAGAGAACCAGGGTTGGAATTAATTTGTTCATGATGCAGATCAGCTGTCACTTTTGCATTGGTTTGCTCACGGCATAGCTGGAATGGGTGTGTGTGTGTGTGTGTGTGTGTGTGTGTGTGTGTGTGTGTGTGTGTGTGTGTGTGTGTGTTCCTTTTTGGTGAAATGCTTGTGCAATTTCTTTTGTGTGTTGCTGAGTGCTTGAAGAGCCCCTCCCTTCTGCTGCCAGCTTTGCCGCCTTCTCTCAGAGGCTGTGACAAAGCTGCGCTCCGGTGTGTTTGTAGTGACTCATTCATTTAGACTCTCATTTATCACTTTCACCAACAAAGGGAGGTATAAATAAACCTGTTCAGTGTGCACACAGAGTTGAGCAATAACTTCTCTGCTTCTTTCCCGACAGGATTCCAGTTCATCCTCATCATCATCTTCATCCTCCTCTTCCTCTTCTTCCTCCTCATCCTCCTCTTCTTCCTCCAGTAGCTCCTCAGAGAGTGACAGTGAGGTAAGTTGTGGTTTAGGTGCTGCTCAAGAATCACACAGGTATACAGAGTAAATATTGCTTACATGCAGCTGCTGTCTTGCTCTAACATGTCACACACTGGTTGCTGTCATCAGAGCTCTGCTTGAGACTCGCTCATGACGAGGGAAATGTTTTGTTTGCATTGATTTGCAAGGTGCAAGGTGCTTAATGCACAGCTCCCAGTGTTCTTTCAGTAGAACATATTTCCTTTAGAGGTGTTAAAGAGACTGCAGAAGTGATGGTTTAACAGTGCAGTTTTGTTTATGTAAATCCTTCCTGCAGCACTGCTAAATTAAGTCCTTGGCCATGAGCACAAACAATTTCACATCAGCTCACAAGGGATTGATAGTCTCTTCTAACTATGCCACTGCCTCAGGTGAGGATGTTGTCAAAGCTTACAATAGAGTTTATCAAGAGGATGTTTGGGGTGGAATGGCTGTCAAATTGACTGTATTTAGAAATCTGAAAATCAGCGCATCAACACATCAAGCTTCCCCAGGCCTGATTTGTCAACAGTTTCAGCTTTTGAAATAACTCAAACCCAAGATTACCCAATGAGGTATTTTCCCTTTTTGTCTAGTTTAGTAACATTTTTCTTCAAGTGACTGCAAACACATGATGGTGTGATGTCTTGCTCAGGCCATCGTGTTCTAAGGGCGTGGGTGGAAGATCAGGAGCTTCAGGAAAAGAAGTAGCCCAGCTCATGCAAGCTTTTGAAAAACAAGAGACAGAAACTGAATTAGCATTCACACTACTGGTCGGACTGACCGGTTAAAAGCATCACAGAACTAAAACCAGAGCAGCAGAGCAACAGAAAAGCAAGAGTACACAACAATGGAAGGCATTTCACCCTGGGCTGTGGGTGGAGGCTCTAATGTCCTGGATCTGATAGCAGGCGGTATCTGACAGGAGAGGAACACACCCGTCGACAATTTGTGAAACACCTTCTGTATCTACTGCAACAAGTTGTGACACTACAGTCATATGTGAACTATGTATCTCTGCTGGAGATGTAAACATCCCAAGCATCACAGATGTGTGGGTGTGTGTGCAGGCTTACATGTATGCTAACTCAGCAGTAGTACTACGTTAATGCATCCAGTCTGTGTGCAATGATAGCCATAATATGTACAATCGGTGCATTTTATCATTCATGTGTTTGTTTTGGCTACATGTGTACAGTAGGTGTGGATGTTTCTTATCTATCTGTATTGACGGCAGAGAATTCTTAATATATAACTAGCAGGTGACACCCAACCCTGATTCTGGTGGCTTTATCTTTATATACATATTTGCAAGTGCAACACTCACCTTGCAGACAAGCCTCATATAGGAGCTCACATTCAGCAGAAGTTTTAAGAAATCTAAAAAACATTACAACAAAAGGTGATTTTGAAAAAAATCAAAATGCTCTTGCAGGATGACAAGAAGAAGAAGAAGAAGAAAAAGGAGAAGGAGAAGGACAAGGACAAGAAGAAAGAGTACATACATGACAGTGTTACCATACTTGGTGAGTGGGGCACAGCATTTCTCATTTGCGTTGTGAAACTGGTTATTGCTTTTAAATGGTTTTACATATCATGTCTCATGAGGGCAGCGCATTTAAGGCTCTGTGCATATTGTTCGCATGCACGCTTGTATTCCAAAAATGTGAAAACGCATTTCTAATGTTCTTTGCAATAAGTTCATTTGATCTTGTCTGCTACTATTTTATCTTAAATATTATTTTCTTACCTCTCCGTAGATTACTCTGATATTATATTTTTTGACGCAAATGTGTGTCTGTTGTTTGTGATACATTTGTTCTTCACAAAGAGATGCAGAAGCTTATTCTATACTGTAGCTTTGACATTGTAGTGTAGAGGTTAAGCTTCTTGAGCATGCAGGTAGATGATGTCTTGCTTCAGGGTGCCTTCACTAGAATTGAGTTCAAACTTCCAGCTTGTTCAGAGCGTCCAGTCATAGCGCTGTCCCCCAAACCACCCTGGGACATATTTTGGTCATAATGGAATAACAGTTTTAGTTCACAGTGACACAATAGAGATTAAGACACCAGTTTGGTTGTCAGTCAGACTTTGACACGCACATTCTGATCAGTTCCTGTTTTTGCAAATAAAGTTGGCAGGATCACATCACAACTGTGCGATTGTCTTAAATTCCCTTTTTACTCTGCAGCAGTGATGATATGTGATCTGCATCAACTATTTGATTACAGAAATGTCACACGACTGTTTTTTAGTTTTCAAACATTAAGACATGCTTTACATTTTGATGTCTTTAATGCGTACAGGTCCCGATGGCGAGATGGAACTGCAGCCAGACGAAGGTCTGAAGATGAGCATGGTGAGGGAGGAATCAAACAAGCTTTCATTTTAAAACATGGTGTTTGCTGTTAAACGTGCCATTACAGAATGTCTGTCCTTTTTTTGCTTCAGGAATATGACTCATCAGATGAGGAGAATGACAAGAAGAAAGATAAAAAGAAGAAGGACAAGAAGAAGAAGAAAAAGAAAAAGAAGAAGAAGGTATGTGTGAATTTCCAATTTTCAAGTAATGAAAACAATGAAACATTAGTAGGTGAATTATGCCTTTAACCTTTATGTTACTGAATATCTATGGTACTTCCTCTGTTCCAGGATTCATCCTCTTCCTCATCTGACAGTTCATCCTCTGACAGTGAGGATGAAAAAAAGAAGAAGAAGAAGAAGAAGAAGAAGAAGAAAAAGAAGAAGGTATGATTCATTTGATACTAAACTGTTGCAATATTGGGAATATACTGTGTGTTAACTGTCTGTTCGACCTCTTTGTAAATCAGATGATCAAAACGGATGTGCTAATTGTTTTGCTCTTCCTCTAAAGGACTCCAGCTCCTCTTCCTCAGACAGCTCTTCATCATCTTCCTCGGACAGTGACAGTGATGATGACAAGAAGAAGAAAAAGAAAAAGGACAAGAAGAAGAAGAAGAAGAAGAAGAAGGACAAGAAAAAGGTAAAACGACACGGACGTTTTTTCTTTTCTGCTGAAAAGAGTCTCTTGTGTCATCGCATTTGAAGTGCCACCATTATTTACTGTGTAAATTAAGTACAGTGATACATTTATAATTTATCACGCAATCGTGTGTGTTTTCTTGACAGTGACAAAATTGTGTAATACATGACTCATGTTGCTGAATAAATAACAATGTTTCACACATTGCATGAATGGCAAACTGATTATCTATAGAGATTAAAATGTGTTTTTTGTTCTATTTGCACAGGATTCCAGCTCTTTATCTTCATCCTCGTCTTCATCTTCTGACAGTGATAAAGACAAGAAGAAAAAGAAGAAGAAGGACAAGAAAAAGAAGAAGAAGAAGGATAAGAAAAAGGTCAGAGGCAAAGCTGCTCATCAGTGCATTTCATTCGTTGTAGAAATGTCACATTTTCCACGTTTTGTTTTTTGCATACATTCTTACATTATGCATAGAGTACGAACAGTATCTCCACTTCTTAATGCAAAACTGTAGACTAGTGTGTGCTCATGTTGTAATAAAGATTCCCCCACAGTGCACACACCTTCTGAAGAAATGAGCAGTAGTGCCTGTACCTGTCAGGGCCTGTAAGGGAATGGTATGAGAAGATGCATAGCAGTTACTAACCGCAGTGCCTCAACACCTCACTTCATGTTGTATTCCACTGCAGAGACAATGAGTGGATTTGTGGATCTGTTTATGATCTGTGAACCAGTGTATGCTACTGTACACATTTACGTATCTACAGAACAGTGTGTAGATTTGTTGGGGAAACACAAGGTGCAGTACAGACAGGTAGTATAACTGTGTTTGTGCTTTTCCACAGGATGAAGAGCAGAGTGAATCCTGCAGTGCTGAGGCTCTTTCAGCAGCTGGTGAGTGTTTCCACTTTTTAGTGATTGAAGAAAACAAAATAACTAATAGAAATCCCAATGGTCATTGCAACCAAACCTGTTCACAAGATTGATGTAGTGTTGCTGAACTCTTCTGCAGATGGTGAGACTGCAGGACCATGTGCAGATGGAGATAAAAACACAGATGCAGCTGCTGACAAGGTGAAACACTCACATGAGTGCATGCCACACATACTATATGCACAAATGCACTGCAAATCATTGCTTTCTTTTGTCATGACAGGTCAAGAAAGAGCTGAAAGCAACAGAAGAAGACAAAGTGTCCTCTTCATTGGCAGGTACGTGTGTGTGCTGCTCAGGCTCGCAAACAAGTCAAGCATCGGTTGGAGGCTTGGAGAAAGTGTTTGGTTGTAATGATGCTTCCTGTCCAGCAGGGGGAGCAAAGGCATTCCCTGATGGTATGGAGGAAGGCCACTTGAGTGATGATGAGGGAGAAGGAGAGGACGAGAAGGATAAGAAGAAGAAGAAGAAGTTGAAGAAGAAGAAGAAGAAGGTGATTCTGCAATGTGAAAAATGCGTTCATATATGCCGATTTTTCTGTTTTTTATTTTAATTTAATTGAACAGATACAGAAGTGTTTCTGCGTGCAGACTGGGTGAACTGAAAACTTCAAATTGTCCATAAGTGTGAAAACGAGTGTGTTCTTCTGATGCAATTATAATGTTTGTTTTAATATTTGCATATGATTTGATCCACAGGACTCCTGCAGCTCCTCCTCTTCTTCATCTGATAGCTCCTCCTCAGACAGCGAAGATGATGATAAGAAAAAGAAGAAGAAGAAGAAAAAGAAGAAGAAGAAGAAGAAGAAGAAGAAGGTGAAGTAGAACAAGGACACGATTTGTGTCTACAACACTAATGTGTATTTCATTTTCCGTATCTGTGCTGTTTAATGTTATTAAATCATCCTTACCTTTCTGTGCATCTTTACAGGATTCCAGCTCTTCCTCCTCCTCATCTTCATCTTCTGATAGTGAAGATGATAAGAAGAAGAAGAAGAAGAAGAAGAAGAAGAAGAAGGATGAGGTTCGTGTCCACGACACTTCTTTATATCACATTTTTTGTACTTGTGCTGGCTGTTTTTATATCATCCTCGCCTTTCTCCTTGTCTTTACAGGATTCCAGCTCTTCATCCTCTTCTTCATCATCTGATAGTGATGATGACAAGAAGAAGAAAAAGAAGAAAAAGAAGAAGACAAAGAAGAAGAAGGATAAGGTTTGTGTCTACAACACTTCTGTAAATTACATTTTTTACACTTGTGCTGGTTGTTATTATATCACCCTCGCATTTCTCTGTCTCTTTACAGGATTCCAGCTCTTCATCCTCTTCTTCATCGTCTGATAGTGATGATGACAAGAAGAAGAAGAAGAAGAAGAAAAAGAAAGATAAGAAGAAGAAAAAGAAGAAGGATAAGGTTCATGCCTACAACACTTCTATATATTACATTTTTTTGCACTTGTGCTGGTTGTTATCATCCTCACCTTTCTCTGTCTTGACAGGATTCAAGCTCTTCCTCTTCTTCATCCTCTGATAGTGAAGAGGATAAGAAGAAGAAAAAGAAAAAGAAGAAGAAGAAGGTAAAGCATGTGCATAAAATGTTTTCATGTTCGTTGTTCTTGGTTATTAACAGATTAATGTCACACTCCTGATGCTCATGAACAGTCTCATGAATGAGTATTAAAGATACATTTCTGTGACTGATATCTTTTTCTAGAAGGACAGCTCTTCTGATGATAGCTCTTCTTCCTCCTCCTCATCCTCCTCTTCTTCTGATAGTGATGATGACAAGGTGAGATGACACACATACACACAGTGAATTATTCATCTGTTCCAGAGTTTACAAAGTTAAAAGAGATAAACAGCAGCACAGTTATTCATGAGGACGTGTCTTTCTTTTCTACTGTAGAAGAAGAAGAAGAAAAAGAAAGATAAGAAAAAGAAGAAGAAGAAGGATAAGAAGAAGAAGAAGGTAAGAACGTGTCATCCTTTGTTTTACATTCTAGGTTTTTGGTTGATTACATGATGGCAACTCTTTATATGTGACATTTCCTTAAGAAAAAAAACACATTATTGATGATCTTTGGTCAGGGGGAGAAAGATAACCACGTCAGCGTGTGCGCGGTGGTGTTATGATGTCATGACCCAACACTTTCTGCTTGTTCAAACTCAAAACAGACGGAAACATCACCGCAGTGTCATTACCACCCTACGTATGAAATGTCATGTGTGTTATCATCGTTTCTTTTTCTGTCCAGGATTCTTCTTCTGACTCCTCCAGCCATTCTTCTAGTGATGATGATAAGAAGAAAAAGAAGAAGAAAAAGGATAAAAAGAAGAAGAAAAAGAAAGACAAGAAGAAGGTAAAGCGATGTGATTGTGTTGTGTTGGTCAGTGCAGCCTCCTGCTTGATATATTTGTATATTAAGATGGGAAATGAAATAAAATAAAAATAAATAACACAATAACCTATTGACATGCATCCAGGACTCAGATTCTTCTAGCAGTGATGACGACAAGAAGAAGAAAAAGAAGAAGGACAAAAAGAAGGTAATGTAGCGTGTAATAAACACATTTCAGCTCATTTAGCTGTTTTATAAAAGATAAATAGAGTGTTCAATGCTTTTTTATTTGCGCAGGACTCAAGCTCCAGTTCATCAAGTTCATCTGGTAGCTGCAGTGGCAGCGACAAGGAAAATAAAAAGGACAAGGACAAGAAGAAGAAAAAGGTAAAGTATTCATGGGTTAGAAATATCATCAGATTTTGTCTAATGTGCAGATGAAATGATTTTTTTTTCCTGCTTGGCCTTCAGAGTTCGGGCACAGATGGAAGTGACACTGACAAGAAGAAAAAGATTGTAAGTTTGCTTTTATTATGAACCATGTAAAAAATATTATGGCTGATTGTGAGCTGGAAGTCAGCTGGTTTTTCCTTCAGCTATTAAAACTGTCACCATAATCTTTCCTCATAGTCTATTCACCATTTGTACGTTAAGCCTGATTTTCCATTTACATTACCCTTTATAATGTGGTGCTGGTTTCATCCCAGGACACCCTTGATGCTGAGCAAAGCACTAAGCCAAAAACAGAAGTTTCAGGCTCAGGTGGCAGCACCCTATCAGCTCCCAGTGGCAGCAGCTTTAAGCACAGTGGTGCTTCTGCCGGTCCTACTGCCGGTCCTACTGTCGGTCCTACTGTCATCTCCTACGTGTCACTCCCATCCAAGCCGACAGTGAGTACAGATCCTCTGAATCCTTCAGCTTTCTCCAAGCCTTCTGTCTCCAGCACTTCACTGAGCATGGGCGACAGGGTCACCATCCGCAGACCTCCCAGCCCCATGGAGTCTCTGATGGGGAGCCCAAGGAGGTATGGAGACGTAGGGGCCCGTACCACTAGCCACCTGAGTGCTAGTGACCTACTGAAAGGCCCCAAGCCTTACCAATGATGAGATGTCACAGACCAAACTAGATGTTACGTTTTGTTTTTTTTAAATGCGTGACTTACATGACACTGGTTGATGTTGAATGGGATGATGAGGTGTTGGTTCACAATCATAGAGAATAATTCAGAATCCTTCCAGAATCGTTTTGCAGAATAAAACAATATGATTTTATTTGTGTGTTTTGTGTCTACTTCTTATGCTGCCTTCAGGTGCTCCTACATCTCACGTTCTTTGGGTACAGAGCAAGAATTAACATAAAGGTCATGTTAGCTGTTTGGTTGCTTTGGATGCAGACATATTGGGCTGGGGCATGTAAATGAAAAGGGAAATGAGAACCAAGCCTCTATCAGATGTTATACTAAAAGATTACAGTCTGCAAAGGACAGGGTAAATATTTATACCAGGGAAATACTAACTGGAAACACTGTACTTCAGTGTAAATGGGGCGAACAAGGTTTATTTGACAGCCTGCACACTTTAATAAGGGCTTTTCTCACACATTTTCAATACTTTGAGTCATTAGCTGTGTACTATCACTTTAAAGTAACACCCACCAGTAATGGCATGACATATAAGCTGTTCTAGGTTCTGTAACATTGGTTTTTCATTGTTGGATATCACAACCAGTGGTGGAAAGTATGAGTAAATTTACTGAAGTACTGCACTTGTTGAATATTAGTGCTTGGTGCTTGTTAACTTAAGTGTTTCCCTAATCTGCTACTTTAAACTTCCACTGCACCACATTTCAGAGAGTGATATTGTACTTTTTCCTCCATTAAATGTGTCTTCTTGCTTGAGTTACTTTGGAGATTAACATTTTGCATAGTGCAAACACTGCAGATTATTTTATTAAAATGCTATTTACTTGTTAATGTTAAATGTGGCAGCAGACTGAGAGGGGCTGTTCTGTATAATGGGTTTAAAAAATTGATTTTATTTATGTAAATTATTAAATGCAGTACTTCAACTTGTAATGTTTTAATATTTATTTATTTTATTATTATTTATTTTATATTTTATTTTGTTTTTACATTTCGCAGTATTGATACTTTTACTAATGTAAAGCATCTACGTACTTCTTACACCACTGACCACAGCGCTGCAGTAGTAACACTTCTACCCCATTTCCCCTGTCCTGTTACTAGTAAGGATGTTATATGCACTGTAATCAGCCTTTTAGTGAGTTTATTTGTTTCTATGTATTTCTTTTATTTCTAAGTGCATCTTATAGGGAATATTTCACTGCCTAAGTATTTTATTGCCACCCTGTATACTAAATTACACTTTGCAGGCTGAAACTGAAGCATTACCAAATAATTAACTAAAAGTTATACATTAAAAAAACAGGATGTAATCTCAACAAGAGAGTGGGGTTGTATTTTATTTATTTGATTCATAAGAGGACAGTGTGCAATGACATTAATCATTTACAAGGAATGAAAACATGGTTGCACCAGACAGATTTCCAATTTCCACATAACAAGTAGACCAATAAATAAAAAGCATTTTTCCACCACTAGATTTTATTTCAAACTTTTAGCATTCAATATGAACAGAATCCGACTCATACAGATGAAGCATAGAGAAAAACAAACAAATAAACAAAGAACAACCCACAACTGAAAAAGACAACAAAAGTAAAACAAATCTAACATAGTGGAAACAAAGTGGAAATAAAGATGCGAGTGACTTGTGACAAAAGGTTCACTTGAAGATTTTAAATATAGTTCATACATTTATTGTTTTGACAGCTTTCTTTTTGGTTGTTTGTTTTGTGAGGAAGAATTATTATTTTTTTTTATTATTAATTTATTGAAAGTGTTGTCCCACTTCCTTAATAAATACAAAAAAAATAGTTTTGTTGGTTGTCAATTTACATTTGGAAATATGGAATTTGACAAGTAGCCTAATATTAGATTAATAAGAAAAAATGCATTATTATCTTGATTGCAGTAGCCTGATCATAGCACCCAAATATAATATTTCTACAATAAATAATAAAACATTGTCATCTACAAATTTAGTGGCCTGATATCTTTCCACTGCACATATATAAAATAACCAGGATAAATGGGAGCAAGTTTCAGGGTGTAATTCACAAACGGAGCAATTTACAGCTTTGTCACTACAACTTTTTGAATAAATGTTTCACTGGCAAGAATCTAAGGGACAATTTAAATGAAACTTTTTAAAAAAACTTTAATGAACTTTTGTGGTAGGCTAAGGACCAAACTTTATTCCAGTCAATACTGCAGTGACGCCCACATTTCCCAGCATGCTGAACTGAGCAGTTTGTAGTTTGCTGTTTTCTGTTCCATAAGGCAAATGTCTTTTTTGTGTGGTTATTGTCTGTGGTGTGTCTGTTCAGAACATGATAGTTAATGTTAGTTATTGCCATTTGTTTGTCAATTTATCGTTTGCACCATTAGTGAGCTGGCTATGTGTATAACATATTGGCTGTAATTGACACTCGAAACTTCTAATTTGTTCTCTACGTAAGGAAAATGCCACAGAAGAATATTTCTTTGGTAAATCTAGATCTTACACACATACTATTCCATCAGTGTGATAATCTGGATGACATGTGTCAGGTGTACCGGGACAAAGAGGTCATTGGTTCATCAGCCCCTGCAGGTGATTGGCACTGCTCGGATGACAGGAAATAAACAAAGGTAGGATGTCGTCGGTTCTACCTGGGGGCAACACTTGTCTCCTTCCTCCCCCAACCGGCAACACCTGTATCCGTGGTTTGCTAACCCTGTTTTCTCCTGTTACTTCAGAGAAGTGAGGTATGGTGGCCTAATTTTTTTTCTTTCATTTCAGGTTGTTTCCAAAGACTGTAGGCTGTATGGTTGGTACCTTCATAGTTAATGTGTTGTGTTGCTTTGCCCACCTGGGAACAAGTCAAACGCCTCAGTCAACTCAACCTTCAGTTTTACGAATTACGCATCACTCTGCGCGTTTGCAATGTGCGTAAAATTCTATACTTTGAAGACGCTCCTCTGTGAATGATTAACTCAGCTGCAGCGGTGGTTGGGGGGGACGTGTTTGTGTCACGTGGTTTAGGTGCGGTCAACCCAAATTTCCAGCGTGTGAGGAAAGCAGCCGGTCAGTGTCTGAGGTCACTTGTTTGGGAAAGCGCAGGAGGGAGTCACGATGTCTTTGGATCTGTCAGAAGGTAGGTTAAAATTTACTCTGACTGTATTTAGGAGGAAAACCTTGAATGTAAATGTTTAGTCTGGAGCTACTTCAGCATCATTTTTAAATTCTTGGTAACTGGAACTGAGGAGAGTTTTAAAGAGGATATTTAGGGCATGTTTTGCTCCTGACAGCTTAATTACTGATCCAGTGTATGCTTTAGGAACAAAATCAAAATGTGTAATCAGAGACAGTCTCAGCAAGGTGTGTTTGATTTGTAGCTGTGCTCCTGCTGTGTAAAGAGGTTGCCACTGTCTCTCAGATTGTGTTTACCATCTGTCTGTTTTACATGTGCAGCTTTAGGTGGGGGTGACGATGCGCTGAAGAAGGATGATGCTCAGAAGGATGAGTTTAACTTCCCTTGGAGCAAGGACAAGGATGAGGACAAGGATAAGGACAAGGATAAGGTAGGAGCTTTGTATATGTACATTCTGACACAGACCTATATGGTTGATGAGCGTAAGAGCTTTTCCAGGTACTGAGAAGTAGAATTTGATACCTAGTTTGATTTGAGCTGTTATATTTTGACAGCAAAGCCCAGTAATTGCTTCTCTGGTAAACCTGCTTCAACATAATATACATCTAATCTGTGTTGATAAATAATGATGGAATTGATGATTTATTCAGCGTAAACTTTTGCCATTTTCAGGAAGACAGCAAGGATAAGTCTGATAAAAAGGACGAGTCTGATGAAAAGGACAAGTCAAAGGACGGAGACGGCAAAGAACACAAGAGCAAGAGCAAGAAGAAAAAGGAAAAGAAGGAAGGATACGAATCAGGCTCAGCCTCATGCTCATGCTCATCTTCATCCTCATCCTCATGCTCATCCTGCAGCAGTGATGAGGTAGGCCCAATGCTGAAGTTAATATGTATAAATCTCTTCTGATGTGATTTTTGATGATACTCCAGTGAGCCAGGGCTTGGTCATGTTACCTCTCTCTCACAGTGAAAGCTAACTGGCTCCAAACCGTAGTTGGGAGCACACTTGCTCAATAACATTAATTTAGCTTGGCTTGTTCCTTGCTGGTAACTAGCTTCTAGCGGTTTGGACCACTCTGCAGAAGGAAGGATGGCGAGGCGTTCAGGTACTATTCACAACAATGACTTTATTGCAGTCTTTACCACAAAACAAACATGACCTTCTCATGAGGTTGAGAACTTATCTAGATACTTAATTCTGCTTATTATAATCACTCTTTGCAGCCGGCAGTCTGAGAGAGCTGCTTCCCTCCACATACATACACGTCACACCTTCACAGGTTACCCCCCACCCTTAAAGGGGAAAAAGGGTGAGCCCTGTGTGAACATTGTACTGGATTTTTATTTCCCCTCAGTGCTCAGTTTGTAAAAATGTTCCCATTTCTGTAGTTTGTGGTTCTCAAGACTGTTTTAACAACAAAATAAGCTAAAATGCAGCTCAACAGGTAACATACCTGTCACACCTTGTTTCAAAGGTCAGCGTGCGTCGAACATTGTTTGAAACAAGACTGGCTGAACAGGTCTTGACCAGCAGAGTCAGTTCTACTCAGACGTGACTCAACACACCACTCTGGGTGTGTGCTGTTGTCATTTATAGCTCACACTGATGTCAAGTGAAAACCTTCCAGCTCTGCAGGTTCAGTTTTAGATTGCTAACCTGGAGCCAAACTCAGAGCGACTTCAACTATCTCACCGCCTTTGAGCTAAATTCCTTCCACTTTGTTGCTGAGAGGAAACAGAGCAACATGTCGGTCATATTAATGAGTAATATGTTTCCCATGCAAATGACTAAAGCAAGAGAAGCCAAGCCCAGGGTGGGAGAGAGGAGGAATAGGTCAGATAGGAAGTTATGCAAAAGCTGTTCGCTAATCACCACAGTGAAAGTGAACTCACTGCTGTCATACCTGTCGTGTGCTGCACAGCGAGACTCCAAAATATTCCTCCTGCAAAAGTGAATGTAATCTCAGTGTTTATTATTATGGGTCATACTGCTGCAACAGTAATTCACTAAAGATACAGAAGGAGCCGCACTAAAGATGTTCTTTAATAAATCATGCATCCTTTCTGGGGAGCACTTTAGAGTTCCGAGTAATTATTTGTAATTATAGTGCACCAGTACAGTACATACTTATATTCGTATACTCAAAGGGAACAAGATGTGAATTTGGGGGAAAAGGAGGTAACAATCTGGGAACTTAAAGAATTTATACTGTAGATTTTTTTTAACACTCAGGTACCTGGAGGGGTGCAGATGATAACAAAATGAGGATAGGCAATATATAGTTCCTAAATAACTACTAAGGGCTTTTACCCTGGAACAAATAGGTGAAAGAATATTGTCAGAAACAAACAGAGTAGGCATGTAGCCAATACTGTGTGTGTTACAGGGGACTTCAGATGCCTTAGGTGGTGCAGGTGTATGTGGAAGGACACTGTTTTTACACAGGGTGCTGTTCATTGTTGTTAAGGAGTACAGCAAGTTAAAATAATTAGTAAAATTGGAAAAAACAGTTTTGTTATGACAAATACAGCTGAACAGGAACCCAGGAGTGTTCACCTAACAGCCAAGGCAGGTGTAGAGCAGTGGTTCCCAACTGGTGGGTTGCGGGCCCATTCTGAATGAACCACAAGTGACTCGTAATCCTGTCAAGTTTGTTAAAAAAAATACACTTTATTTTGAAGTACAGTAAATTTCCAGCACAGTGCTTTTAGTTTGAAGTGCTGTTTTCTGCTGTGGAGTGACTGACAGACAGCTACTTGTCAGACACAGCCAACTAGCTCAACGACGTGGTCAAACGCAAGTATGACGCTGAATGTATTAAACTGCGGGAGCTCAAACTAATGACTCAGGAGAAATCTGGACCCTGTGGCTGGGCCACTTAGGAACTGCTGGTGTAGAAGATAATTTTAAAAAACGTGACTTGAGAGTTGTTGCACAGGCTGAAAAACTGATTTGATCTTACGAGCTGCATAACTTTAAAACTCAGCATGTCTTTTCTAATGGAGGACTAACTTAAAACAATTTCAACCTCCAAAACTGAGCCGACCTAGTGACAAACTACAAGCAATAGCTACACAATCTTTTCTACAGCTCCTCTCACTGGAAGAAAGTCTCAGTTACACAAACATACGTTGATGGTGGATGTTTGTGACGTGTGCAGCTCTCAAGGGTGGTCAAATTAATGTAGCATGTAATATTAGAATAGCTAATCCTGATTCAGTTCCCACATTGTTGCCCAATTATCTCTAGCTTTACATGTTGTTTAATTGTTTATATCTGTATGTACTGTAGTGATGCACTGATTAATAACACTGTAAATTAGAAAGAATTATGCTGCAAGTTGTGGGCTGTCATCTGAAGTGTTACCCCATTCTGGAGTAACAGCATTTTCCTTTTTGTCATTTCAGGGTTGATGCTTCCTGCAGGGACCAGACTGCTCTGTTGATCTCTTATGATCTTGTCTGTTGACAGAATGACTGTGTGGTAGTAGGCCTGACACCTTTCCTTGCTTTCCTTTCATTGGTGTCACAGAAACATGCTGCTCTTGTTTAAATAAGCTTGCTGATTTATTGAAGTAAATGTTCTGACAAGGAAATGCCTACAGGATTTATTGTCTCCGTCAAGTTCATCTGTCAAGTAAAGTGTGTTTTTTTTTCACCACTAGATGGCGGTGTTATCTATTTTAAGGTCAATTACAGTTTGAAGTCAAGGTAGAAGATTAAAGCAGTTTTATTTTCAAGATTTATGTTTTAAGAGTACAGAAATATAGATAATGTTGTTCATCATTGTAGTCAGATTCTACTCAGATAAAGAATAAGTAAATAAAATGTACATAATGTACTCTCTTTAGGTTGATAAATAGCTCGTCCTCAGTGAATGTGTAATGGCTGCAGAGTGTTTCCTCTGACATGACATGACGCTATCAGCAGGTGTCAGTGTACCAATGGTGGAAGTATTTAGATCCTTTACTTGAGATAAAGTAGAAATACCACAGTGTAAAAATACTCTACACACAAAAGTAAAGCATTTACATTTTGTCTACAGAAGAATTATCAGCAAACAACAAAAAACAAAACTCAAAGTACCAAGCAAGGGCACCCATAATGCAGAATGACCCTTTTCAGTGTTATATTGTTATATATTATAAAACTGTGTTGTTGATATTGGTGCATTCTTGTATCAGCATATTTTTGATGTTATAGCTGGTAATGGCGTACATACTGCTGCCTAGTTTTTTCTATAAAGGCATCATGTTTTGTGTTTAAAATCACAATCTGCAATGTCACTAGTAAATTTAACAGTCAGAAAGGAGTGGAGTAAAACATACAGTGTTTCCCTCTGGGATGCAGTGCAATAGAGGTATGAAGCAATGTAAATTGGAAATACTCAAGTAAAGAACAAGTACCTTAAAATTGTACTTAAGTAGTTCTTTCAGTATTAAAGGTAAAACGTCTATATCACTGTATTTCCTTGTAATAAAGTGAGTATATGTATGCAGTTACATTCCTCCACTGCAGAGGGGGTCAGACTAGGTTGAAGTGTTTAACAACAGAAAACATCCCTGGAGAAAAAAAAACATCAAATGAACATATGATTTGAAGATGCAATTTTTTGTCTTAAGGAAATTGTGATGGGTGTTTTTCCTTGTTTTTACATTTTATAAAACAAAAAGAAAAACAATCAAGGCACTAATAAGTAACAGCAGCTAAAATGACAATGAAGATAATTGGAAGTTGTGTTCCTAACTGGACGTCATAAGTACAAGAAAAAGATCAGTCATAACAATGACAAAAGTGAAGCCAATCAGCCCTCAGATGACACCAGAGAGCTTGTTCAGGTATTGTAACACCAAACAGTGGTAATCATACGTCACAACACTCAAGTTGTTCCACATTCTCTACCTTTGTTGTCATTGTTAGATGGATGAAGTGCAAACCGGTCCTCATTTTTCTTTATAATTTAAAACCACATAATTATAGCTGCAGCTAAACAATCACACCCTTCTTCCCAGGTAACCACAATAACACTATATTAACAATATGAAGTCCTGCATATTAAAGTATATCAACTTTTTTTTTTAATAAATGATGCCACAACTAAGGTGGAAATTAACTAAGTGCATTTATTGAAGTACCGCAGCTGTAAGTGTCATTTTGAGATACTTGTACTTTACTTTATTGTTTCCATTTTGTGCTACTCTATCCTGTAATACTCCACCACATTTAAGAGAGAAATATTTACTTCACCACATGTACGTGTGAACAGTGCAAACACTGCAAAAAAAATCTGCCATTTCAGTGAGACAATTTCAACTTCTTTAAATACAAGTTAGGAGTTTTATGAATTTTCTAGTATCAGGTGAGGTTTTTAAAATTCAAAAGCAGCGACCCCTTTTCTGTCCTCTTTGAACATTCTTCATTAATTTTATATTGTGAGGAAATTAGAAGTAATAATCTGTCCACTAAACTGGACCTCGTGTATCGTTGGCTATATTTCAACTACAATTAATATTGTCACTGCAAATACGACAATAGCGTAAAGTGCCGCGGCGCGCGTCGAGCCGCCGCCGGCGTGGGTTTGTAAATAGAAAATAATGGGGGCGGCTGTTTTGACGCGCGTCGTACGGCGCCGGTGTGTTTTGGCCTTTAATCTGATTGATCTGAGTGGCTTTTGGCTGCAAATTTATTGATTTATGTTATTAGAATGTAATGCACTGGAGGGAGACGTAGTAGAAAGAGAGAGGGGAGAAGCTGAGGAGTCAGGAGGAGGGTCCAACACGTTTGCATGGAACAGTAGCTATATGAACATGTTAAAATATGTGAACACATTAGTCTAACAGCATTAAAATATGTTTTTAATGTTTCATGATATAACTTGGTACATATTTCTTATGTTGAAAACTCAAATGCATGCTGTCAACCCGTGTGGACATGTGAAAAACTCTTTTTAGCTTAATTTTTTTTCCATACCTAAAGAGGAATTAAGAAAAAAAAGTATTTAAACGTTAATGCAGAGGTGACAGTAATTCAGTCTTATATATTAAAACACTCTTAAGGTTTGCTCTGCGTGATGACTGCTGTTTATTTTTGATACTTTGGAATTCATACATGTTGATCCTATGATCTAAGACAGTTAAAAATATTAGTTAACATGAACATCTCTCTCCCAAATCCAAAACCTAGAGGGCGGAAACATCAAGTATAAAGTCCAGCCTTTAAGTATTTTATTGCTCCTCTGTATTGTAAATTACTCATTGTAGGCGTGGTACCCTGTAACTGGAAGTTAAAATGTAATAAACATAATGCAGTCTGTTAAGAAATAAACATATTACAGTATATCACATACACTCTTTAAAATATGTCCTTCTCAGACTTGCCACTGCAGGTTTGTAATGTGCATATAATTCTCCTGCACTTGACATTATCAGTCCTGCGGTGAATGTATTAACTCAGCTGAGCAGCGGTTGGGGGCGTGGCTTATGTCAGGTCGCGTGGTGTAGGTGCGGTTTAATCCATGTTTCCTGCTTTTGACTTTCTGAACTCACTTGTTTGGAAAAGCGCTTGGAGGAATCACGATGTCTTTCGATCTGACACAAGGTAAGGTTAAATTCACTCTGATTCTGTATTTAGGAGGGAGAGCTTGAATGTTGATGTTTGTCTCAAGTCTTGGTAATCGAGCAACAGGCATTTTTAGGGGAAGTTTTGCTCCCGACAGTCCCAGCAAAGTGTATTTGATCCGTAGCTAGATGTACTCCACATTTTTAGTGACAATAATTCAGATTTTAAAACCACATTCATTCTAACCTGATACAAATAAAATCTGCTAACCACGTTTTGCATGTGTGCAGCTCTGGGTGGGGAAAGTGAGGTGAAGAAGGACGAAGCTCAAAAGGATGAGTGGTCATTGTGGAACAAGGATAAGAAGAAGGAGAAGGAGAAGGTAGGAGCTTTGTTTTAATATGTGCATGTGGTACATACCTGTGGTGTCAGTCTGCTGTTTACTGTTTGACAGCAAAGCCAAACAGTTGCTTCTCTGGTAAATCTGCTTCTGTAAAGACTAATCCAACACAACAATTTATTCAAAGTCAACTTTTGGATTTTTTTTTTTAGGGAGACCACAAGGACACGTCTGGATGTAAGGACAAGTCCGGGAGTAAGGACAAGTCTGGATGCAAGGACAAGTCTAAAAAAAAGCACAAGTCCAAGGACAAACATGATAAACATGATAAACATGACAAACATGGGAAGAAGAAAAAGGAAAAGAAGGAGGGCGGTTCATCCTCCTCCTCATCTTCATCCTCCAGCAGTGATGAGGTAGGCCAAATGCTGCAGTATGTTTGTTTTAGAGATCTCTTGCTAATTATTCTTAAAATATAAAAAGGTGCATTATCATTTTCTCAATCATGTGCAATACTACTTCTCATTGCTGTATCACATTAATACAACATTGATTATCAGGTGCACTTTGCTTTTTCCACCATTTTAGTTCATTTTTTGTGACTGATGTTGTTATCGAACTCCTATTGTTGCTCAATTAGGCACTGGTTTTTCATTTTGTTCCTTGAAAACACTTATAACTCGTGGATTTGTATATTTTGCCAGATATTTAACACTCTGTTGTTCTAAAACTGGGCACAGTGAGTGAGCCTGACCTGGGGAACCCCCTGGTTGACTTAGTGTTACTGTAATTTGAAGCATTCTCTGGCACAGGAATTTCCTTCAGGATAAATAAAGTTCTTGTAGTTATCGTTGGACTTTCGGCACACAGATCAACTTTTATTTCCCCTCAGTTCTCAATTTGTGAAAGTGTTCCCACTTTGCACTTCTGTAGTTTGTAGTTCTCAGACTTTTTATCAAAGAGCGCGATAAGATGCAGCTCACCAGGTAACATACCTGTCACACCTCGTTTCAAAGGTTGGCGAATGAATTATCAGCTCGACGATGCACACAGAACATCCACAACAGGTCTGACCAGCAGTGATCAGATGTGACACGTAGCTTACACTATTGTCACATAAAAAACAATTCCAGATCGGCAGATTAATTTTTTAATCTTCAGAGCAGTTTTTACTATCACATCACATTTGGGTTGAAGTCTTTGGTGTTGTTGCAGCTCTGCTCAGAGGAAACAACAACAACACGTTGGTCACATTTGTGTGAGTTATATTTCCCATGCAAATGACTGAAGCAAAGTGAACACACCACAGTCATGGTCTGATTAGACACAATAACATTCCTGCTCCAAAAATGAACGTCATTTTGGTGTTTGTTATGGCTGCTGCTGCCACAATGACTCACACACTGAAGATCAGACGGAGCATACTTAAGATGTTTAATAAATCATGGATCCATTCTGCAGTAACAGCGATGTCCTTCTTGTCATTTCAGGAGTGATGCATCCTGGGAGCTCCGGACCACGCTGTTAGCCTCTTATGATCTTATCTATTGACAAAATGACTGTGTGGTTGTAGTGTACAGTAACACGCCTACTTCATTTTCTTAGTGTCCTTTCACTGGTGTCACCAGTGCTGGCGCTACCTACATGCATATCACACACTGCACTGAGGGCATCAAGTCCTGGAGGGGGCACCACAACAGCTAATGAGCATCAATCATAATCATAAAGATGAAGTATTTAAATTTAAGATGAAGCACAGCCACAGTAGGCACCAGTAGATCATTATAGTCAATATGATATAAATCACTGCTTGTAATAAAAAAAAAGAATTATGCATAATATATAGTATATACTGTCATTGTATAGTTCTGGTTTTCTGATTTGTTTATTGTTAACATTGATAACCTCCTGAGACCTGAACTTTTGTTTGGTATGCATTTTTATTTTCTCCTCGCTATTTGAGATCAGTAGGACTCGATTTGTATGAAAAAACTAAACATTGTCAATGATAATTAAGTCCCAGTGTTCTCAAATGAGTACTTCCTGAGTGCCAGCATCTTAGCTTGTTAGTGTGACTGAAATTAGTCACATGTGTATTCCATATCAAACTGCAAACACATTATGAATCATGAATAAACAAGTTTCAACCATAAAATCTGATCAGGTTTTGTATCTTGTCCACTTTTGTGTCGGGATCTGCTGCAGACTGACAGAGGTGGCTGCCATCATGTTTTTACATGGATTATTGTGTTGTGCCAATTATCCTTCTGCATGTTCACCGATGGAAAACTTGTTACAATTTAAGTCTAGTTCACATTACACGATTTTCACCCTGATGTTGCGACGGGGAGACTATTGTAATCTTTTGAGTGTTTGAGTGTCCTTTGGCGACGTGTGTTTCTGTCAGCGGGAGTCTCGCCAACTGTGTTACGACCTGTGTGTGCACACCACAAGATTTCTCCACCGAGCCCTCACCGACAGAGCCCCAGATAACGTGGTGACGTCACCAAACTTGGAGACGACACAGCGTAAAGGCATGGATATTCTTCCCAGTGTTGAATCAGATCTGCCTCCAGGGCCTGGGTCCAAACACAACGCACTCCCCGTGATCCTGTGGGCGCCGCCATTGTTGGTGCTTGCCGGCTTGTCAGTGTTGCCAGATCTTGGGAGAGAAACAAGCAACCAGGGCTATGGAAACAAGCCCAAAAGAAGTGGTCGGTTATATATAGAGAAAGGCAACGTTTAGAGAGCAAGCCCAAATAAGCAACTCCACTTTAGAAACAAGCCCAAAGTCGGGGCTAATAAGCGGACATGGCAAGTTCTCCCATCCTCCTGCATGCTGACGTGGGATATATCCCGCCTCTCATTGGTTGATGCTCTTTGTCAGTCGTGTCAGCCTTCTCCAGTTTTCTAGCATGCCAGATATCCAGTCCCAGCCTCAGACGAGGGGGCAACTTGCTCGTAGGCTTGTTCACACATGAGGACTCGTCATCGACTCACCTCCGACCCAAGGTGGCTCTCAAGATCCTCTGCGACTTCAAAATCGCAGTGAAAATCGTGTAATGTAAACTAGGCTTTACTTCCTCTCAATAGTCAAGGTTGATCATCTACTTGGCGTTCTGCCAGGGCCACTAGATGGGACAAAAAAGTGTCCACGAATGAGGACAACCGGTCTGAGTGAAGCAGAATGAGGTATAAGGTCAACTAAACCCAAAATGAGATGTCCTCATGAGGACACAGGGTCTCAGGAGGATAATGAAGATGTATTTCTTTTCTTTTTTTAAAAGAAGATTGCAGTGTGTGTGTGTGTGTGTGTGTGTGTGTGTGTGTGTGTGTGTGTCACAGAAACATGCTGGGCTTGTCTCAACTGGAGTAAATGTTCTGCCAACAAAATGCTTGCAGGATTTTTTTCTCTAATCAAGTTTAAATGTTGAATGTTGAAGAGAAAAGCTGGGACAAAAAGCAGCTTTGAGGTTGCAATAGAAACACAAATAAACACAGTTTGGGTGATTTGCAGATTTATTATTGGAGCTGCTATACGTTGTTATTAAATGTATGTTTTCCACCAAATTTAGCTCAGTTTTTACCTCGACAGCTGGATGACTCTGGGCCTGCAAATCATCCAAACCATCCCTACTGCTGCTGTGAGCCCAGTGCAGCTGCATGGCACGAATCATAAAGACAAATTGATTCAAGTCAAATCAGCAAACTAATGAAAAGAGACTATGTAAACAACAAACAGCAGATGTGCTATATGATTTCATACTCGGCAAATGCATCATATTTAATGAGAGGATATGTTTATTTGTTGGCATGGTGGTGCAGTGATTAGCATTGGTGCATCACAGTTAGAGAGTCCTGGTTTGAACCCGGGGTGGGTAACCCTTCTGTGCGGAGTTTGCATGATCTCCCTGTGTCAGCGTGGGTTTTCTCCCACAGTCCAAATACATGCAGGTTAACTGGCGACTCTAAATTGCCCTTACGTTTGAAAGTGAGCATAAATGGTTGTCTGTCTCTATGTGTCAGCCCTGTGATAGTCTGGTGACCTGTCCTGTGTCGTGTACCCCGCCTCTTTACCAACGTCAGCTGGGATAGGCTCCAGCCTTATTCTTATAAAGGTTTTAAATGCTGTGCTTTGTGAAGCCAATCTGCCCTCGAGTGACACCAGAGAGCTCCTTCAGGTCCTGTAATACCAAACAGTGGTAATCATATGACACAACATACAAGCTGTTCTACATTCTCTACCTTTTGTTTGCATTGTTAGACGTATGAAGTGCAAACCGTTCCCCTTTTTTTATCATTAAAAAAACACAATTGGATGCAGTCACACCCGTCTTCCCAGGCAACCGCAATGACACGATGTCAATAATGAAAAATACTATGATTTAAGTAGATCAAGATTAAAAATGGTGGAAAGTAACTAAGTACATTTGCTGAGGTACTGCAGCTGTAAGTGTCATTTTGAGGTACTTGTACTTTACTTAAGTGTTTCCATTTTGTGCTACTCTATACTGAGAGAAATATTTACTTCACTACATGTTAGTGATTGCTTGAGTTACTTCGTAGATTAATATTTTGAACAGTGTAAACACTGCAAATATCGGCCATTGCAGTGAGATAATTCAACTTCTTTTAATAAAAGTCAGTAGTTTAATGGATTTCCTGGACTAAGGTGACATTTTTCTTGATTCAAAAACAGCAATCACTTATTTTTCAACATTCTCACACTAATTTCGAAATGAATCTTGCAACAAGTTGTTTTCTGTCAGAAACAGGTTGTTGTAATTTGACTAGAGTGGCAGATTTGTTCACTTATTTTACCAAAAAGCCATTTTAGGACTCAATATCTATTTAATGATGACTTTGTAGGATGGATATTTACTTGCAGTGCAAAACACATTATGATCATTAAATAGTTGAAATCAGCTCCACCTGGATCAGCTCACTTTCAAATGCTTTTTATACAATAATGTAGGGGTGATAAAAGATCAGTGTTTTATATTAAAACACCCTTAAAAGGGCCGTCCTGCATTATGACTGCCTCTTAATTTTGAGCATTCACACTGGTGTTAATACTTTTACTTAAGTAAGCTCGGTCTGTGCACTAGGAACAGACAACAAAACTAAATCTTGAGATCTCAGACTGTAGCTACGTTCAGATCTCTGTTCAATCAAAGTACAAATGTACGAAGGGAGTTTACCCAGTGTGGCTTTATAAATGAACAAATACCAGTGACTGAGCCTACGAAAGGTCAAAGAACCAGCCCTGGAATAAAGCGCACAGTGATGAGTGAGGGCTTTATGATTTGTAACAAATCTCAGTGCACTATGATGTGCAGTATCTGACATGTGATAATGATGTGTAGATGCATTCATGTGCAACAGATCACCATAATCCAGAACTGGTGAAAACAAGTTGTAGTAAAGTTTGTCATAAAAAAAGTAATGTAAAAGTAACTAAAATGGCATTCAGTCATCAAAATGATGAGAACCCCTGCTCTCTGTGGATGATTGGATTGAAGAAGGTGTTAAACAGGCGATTATGACCTGACCTCATATACACAAAGTTGTGACCGTCTGCGGTGGTATTTTCTTGCCTGCCTGTATAGTAAGTTATCCTTTACAAGCTGTAATCAACAGGGTGCCGCCTAATTAACTACCATTTAAATGTAATAAATGCCTGTAGTTATTCACACAACACTAAAGTATGTCCTGCTCAGACATGCCACTACGCAGGTAACTCTGATCACCCCGTCTGCACGTGAAAGTATGTGTCCTGAAATAAATGGATTTCTGTGAGGCCATCCAGCTGGAGCTGTGGCTGGGGGGCGTGGTTTAAGTGCAGCTGATCCAGGTTTCCTGTGTGTGAGTGTTTGTGCTCACTTGTTTGGGACAGTTCACGAGCAGGAGTCACAATGTCAGGTAGGCTTAAATTTACTTTGACTGTATTTAATAAGAAAGACTGTAAGGTTGATGCTTGTCTCTGTTGAATTCAGATACATTTTAAAGTCATGGTAACTGAGTGCAACAGGGGTTTTGGGGGTAAAGTTTTCTGCCAGACAGCTTAATAAGAATAAGATAACCATACGGAGACAAAATCAAAATGCGAAGGCAAAGATAGTCCCAGCAAAGTTTATTTGATTTGTAGCTATGTAAAGAGGTTGCTATTGTCTCTAAGATTCATAGTGATGATAATTAAGATGTTTAAATCACATTTATTCTAACCTGATACTAACCATGCTTTTCCTGTGTGCAGGTAAAGAAGAAATGGTGCAGAAGGATTCTGCTCAGAAGACTGAGTGGTTCTGGGACAAGAAGGAAAAGAAGGATAAGGACAAGGTAGGAGCTTTATATGAATATGCTCAGGTAGTACATACCTGTGGTGTTCCATGTTTGCAGCTTGTAAAAATGAAGAGAAAATCAAGAAGTGCAAGGGAGAATGTGTCCATAACATCAGATGTGCTCGTAGTGTGACTCTACTTGTGATTTTAGCTGTCTATATTTTGACAGCAAGGCCAAACAGTTGCCTCTCTGGTAAACCTGCTTTATCTGTGCCCTCTTGCTGCCAGCTCTTCGGCACAATACACAGAATTCTTACTCCACGACTCAAACACAACCCTAAGACTCATCCAACACATGATTTTTTTCAAAGTCAACTTTTGCTTTCTTTTTAGGAACACTGCAAGGACAAGGGCGACTGTAAGGACAAAGACAAAAAGCACAAGCACAAGTCTGGAGAGAAGAAGAACAGAGGTGAAAATAAGGATGGAAAAAAATCAGGCACCTCATCTTCCTCATCTTCATCCTCCTCAAGCAGTGATGAGGTAGGCCTAATATTGTTTTCTTCTTTAAAGATCTCTTCCTAATTTATTTTTTAACATAGAATACCTTTACTCTAGTGAACTAGGCCTTAATGTGTTGGAGTTTTGAATCATCGGCTCATTTGTGCACTTGAACATCCACAACTGGTCTTTCCAGTAGTGCCAGTTTTGATCGGACGTGACACACCACGCCCTCCTGTGTTTGTCAAGCGCATTATATTTGTATGAATTATACATTTTCCATGGAGATGACTAAGCAAAATGACAAGACTGCAGTCATGGTTTGATCAATGCCATTAATGCTTCATCTTGGTGTCTATTATGTCTCATGCTGCTTCC